ACTGGGAAACAGCTGCACCATTGCCGTGAACAAATAAGTCACCGCAGCTGGGCGTCGGTGGTGCACGCCTTTAAGCCCAGCACTTGGGGAGGCAGAGGCTGGCGGATCTCTGTGAGTTCAAAGCCACCCCCCTCTATAAGAGCGAGTTGTAGTATGGCCAGGGCTACACAGAGAAACCCTGCAGGACACTTATCATCCACACCAAAGAGCAGGGCAGGGGGAGAGTACTGTGGTGATGTCTCAGACACAGAAGCCCCAGTGAAGGGGCAGTGACACCGCGAGACACTGAAGTCATGAGAGCGGAGATGAAGGCCTGGGCATGAAGGAAACCTCCTTCCCAGCAGATGGATGAGGATGCTCTGAAGAATTCCAAGGCGCAGGTCTTTGAGTTGCTTCTTATGTCGGAGCACAAGTCTGTGCATGTGTGTTTACATATGCGTCATTTCGTGGTGAAGTCAAGTTGCTTACACTTTATTATTCATGTGTGATATAAAACAGCCTCTTATCTGATGGGAGATGTCATTCTGTAAATATGCTTCTCTTGTTGGTTAATGAATAAGCCCTGTTGACCAACAGGAAAGCAAGATAGGCGGGACTAGGAGACAAGGAGGATTCTGGGAGATGTAGTGGAGGAGAGTCAAGAAGTAGGGACGTGAGAGAAGAGGTCCGGACTCTCTCTCCGGTAAGATGAGACCGCGTGGAAACACTTAGATTGATAGAGATGGTTTAATATTTAAGACAGAGCTAGCCGATAAGAAGCTCTTGCCATTGGGCAACAGCTTTATGTCTAATAGAGTCTCTGTGTGTTATTTTGGGACTGATGAGGCCGTGGGACCAGGCTGGCGGGAAAACTGCTCTTTCTTTTTCATGACTAAAAACTCTATTTTTGGAGGGGACTTGTTTTATATAGCTCAGGCTTGCCTTGAATTTATGAGTCACCTGCTTTAGTCTCTCAAATGGTGTGGGTTTACAGTCTCCGGCTACAGAGTCCAACCCCTTTGCTTTAATTAGATATGAAGGACTGTCCAGTTTGTGGGTTTGTGCCCAGATCTGTAAACATACCTGGTGTGCACAGCCTTCACTTTCTCCAGCTGCATAGGGATTTGAGGTGCCGACCGTGGTCCCCCAAGGACCACGCACGTATGAGAGATCTTAGGCAGGTTCAAAGGAAGATGGTAGAGACAGAGACTAAGACAGCAAGTCCATGGAGAATCACAGGAAAGGGAAACAAAAGCCAAGAGCAGACGCAGAAGGCTCTGAGCAAGATGGCACAGCAGAGATCGGACGCCTTCCTAGTTGGAGGGAGGGGTAGGGGCTTGTTTATTGTTTGAGACAAAAACCTGCTACATAGCTCAAGCTGGCCTTGACCTTGAACTCTCCCAGCTTCCAACTCACGGACTGACATTAGACTCCTGACAACCACACCCACCTAGCGGCGCCCCCATATCTTGACTGACTTAGGTTTGCTCACATTAGTGCTAATTGCTCCTCTCTATCAAAGGACTTCATTCTAACAATGAAGATGATACCGCATACATATGACAGACTGGGAAAAGTTTCCTCAGGTAGACAAGGATGGCAGAGCTGCTGTGACGCTCAAAAGTTAAAAAGGGACCAGGTGCGGCGGAGTGAATGCGAGCCTGTAGTCCCAGCACTCAGGTGGCTGAACAAAGAAAATCACTAACTAATGTGAGGCAGGCCTGAACATTATAAAATGTTATAAATATCTCAAGATACGCACGGAGACACCACGACCAAGGCAACTCGTAAAATAAAGTGTTTAATTGGGGGCTGGCTTGCAGTTTAAAGGTTTAGCCCATGATGATCGTGGCAGGAAGCAGACACTGTCAAAATAGCCGACAGCTTTACAGGGAGAGAGAGACCTTTGAAACCTCAAAGCCCAGCCCAGTGACACACCTTCTTCAAAAGGCCACACCCCCTAATCCTTCCTAAACGTTTCCACTCTCTTTCAAACCACCACAGAGGTACATGCTTGTCACAGCCATGAAAAAGTATCAAATAAGTTTACAGAGATAACCTAAGAGATTTTCCCTGTCCCGGTTTTAAAACCTATGAGATCATTAAAAAGTACTAAGTGTAAATGCATAAATTAGAAAGAACTAAATGTGAATAATATAAGCTGACCGAATGGACAGGAAGAAGCCAAAAAAGAGGTGACATAAAAGAAATTCACTATTAAAAATGGAGATTGGATCCCGGCACACCTTTAACCCCAGAACTTGGGAGGCAGAGGCAGGCAGGTATCTGTGAGTCTGAGGCTAGCCTGGTCTACATAGTGAGTTTTAGGACAGCCAGGGCTACGTAGAGAGATCCTGTCTCAGAAACAAAATGCAGATTAGGATTATATATATATATGTATATATATATATATATGCGTGTATATATACACACAGATATATACACACACATATATGTATATATTTAGAATTGTATATGTTCATATATATTTAAATTTAGTAATTTATATTTTATTATTTTCTATTTATATATTTATTTTATATTTACATGTATTTAGATATATATTTAGGATTGTGTATAATTCTAATATGTATTACATATAATTATAGTCTGTGTATCTATACATGTATATATATATATATATATATATATATATATATATATATATAAAAGACACTGAAATGTTGGAGGTATGTCCGTATATCTCAGGATAAAAGTATCTCAAGTTGTTTTTTGTTTGGTTTGAGACAGGTTCAGGCTGGCTTTTGGTTCATGATCCCTGTGCCACAGCCTCCCAAGTGTCAGGGCTACGGCTGTGTTCCAGCACACCTGGCACAGATGATTTTTATACCTTTTTAACAGAAGTGATCATTATTATATAATCAGGAATAACTGTTTCCCAAAAGGAAAAAACAAAACAAGCAAACAAACAAAAAAACAAAAACAAAACAAAAAAACCACAAATGACCCAAAATGCTGTCGATAGAAAGGAATGTTTCATGGGCTGGAGAGATGAGTCAGAGGTTGCAAGCATTGACTGTTCTTTGAGAGGCCCTGAGTTCAATTCCCAGCACCCACACGGTGGCTCACACTCATCTGTAAGGAGACCTGGCCCCTCTTCTGCATGCAAGCAGAACACTGTACACATAATGAATGAAATAAATCATAAAAAGAAAAGAATGTCTCATAAGCACCCTCGCCAAGATATAGCATGCCAGTGGAATTTTGCCTTGTTTATGACCAAAAGAGATTTTGTTTATAACCATTTTCAAAATGGAGGCCCAAAATCTAAAATTAATAACCACCATAAATATTTCCAGGATCTGAAGCCCGGGTGTAAATCTAATTTTTAACATGCTCTCCCAGTGGCTTAGAACATGCTAAAGGTTCAATCCATCCTTGCTAATTGACAAGCACATTTCAGATCCCATGAGTTATTACATCAGAGATGCTATTATTTGATATATAAATGCTATTAAGGGCAAAAATCTCATCTACAAAAGAAAATGAGAGCTAATGAAGTTTTGGTGGAAATAATTTAACTGTGAAATTTAATCTGTCACAAGAGCAGTAATAAAACTCTGTAACACACAGGGAAGTTTTTCTTCCTGCTCAGGCCACATGAATTGTACCTGGTTTTACTGCTCGAATTCCTGTGGTCCCCTGGGCTGCCTAGCATTTGCAGAGCCTATGAGAGAACTCCACCCAATATCGTTAGCATCCTTGTCACCGCAGACTGGAGATGGAGCCCTGGCTGTCACCGCAGACTGGAGATGGAGCCCTGGCTGTCATCAGTTACAAGCAACCTCAGCCTCTGCCCTGGAGCCCTGGAGAGTCTCACGAGCCTCTACTTTTTCTACTTTCACTTACTGCTGGGAGGATGGGAGGATGGAAACTAGGGTCTTCAGCATGCTGGGCAGCCCGCCACTCACCTGCCCCTCGGCCTCCTCCACTCACCTCTCCTCTGCTTTCTCTTTACTTTCTATTTTGAGGAGCCTGGATTAGGCTCAATTCTCCTGCCTCAAGCTTCCTAATTGGCTGGTTTTGGCAGGCCTGTGCCATCAGGCCCAGCTCAGGTCTGTCTCCCTCCCTCCCTCCCTCCTTCCCTCTCTCCATACCTCCCTCCCTCCTTCCCTCTCTCCATTCCTCCCTCCCTCCTTCCAGTACTCCCTTCCTGGGTCCAAGAAGCCCACACTGGTCTCAAACTCATTACTTAACTGAGAAGCACCTTGAACTCTTGATTCCCCTGCTTCTCTCAACTCCCCCCCCCACACCACCATCACCATCAACACCATCATTGCCACCACCACCACCATCACCATCAACACCACCACCATCACCACCACCATCACCATCAACACCACCACCATCAACACCACCATCGCCATCAACACCATCATTGCCATCAACACCATCATTGCCACCACCATCACCATCAACACCACCACCATCAACACCACCATCGCCATCAACACCACCACCATCAACACCACCATCGCCATCAACACCATCATTGCCATCAACACCATCATTGCCACCACCATCACCATCAACACCATCACCATCAACACCATCATTGCCATCAACACCATCATTGCCACCACCATCACCATCAACACCATCACCATCAACACCATCATTGCCATCAACACCACCACCATCAACACCATCACCATAAACACCATCATTGCCACCACCACCACCACCATCACCACCACCACCACCATCACCCCATCACCATCAACACCACCACCATCATCACCACCATCACCATCACCATCAACACCACCATCACCACCACCATGCCTGGCTTTAGCCCTGCCTTCTTTGCAGGACAGTGGGAATGATTATCTCCAAGCAATAAGGAGGGTTCTACCAAATTCACAGTCTCAGCAGGGCACACACTGACTGGCCAGTGGCCACTCCCCTTGGTCTCTGAACCCTCCTGACTGACGCAAAGGCTTCCCATCTGCTACTTGAACACAGTTTTCACCTCTGACCTTTTCAAGTAGAAAGCTTACCTGGACTAACAAGTTGCCGAAGTTGGGCAGGCATGCACCGTGTTTCTTTGTATCCTCAGTCACTTGCCTTATCAGTTCCATCAATATTTCCACTGCACCTTTGCTGATCATCTCGGAGAGAAATCCCGGACTCCCGGAAATGAATTTCAGAGCCCCCATGCAGTATAAAAAGGCTTCCGTGTTACCTCGAAGGTCTTCGCCTCTCAGCACCTCCAATAATGATGCTGTCGAGAAGACGGATTTCTATAAATGTCTGAGTACAACAGCAAATTTGATGTTGGCACATAATTTGTGAAATATATTCATGGAGACGCTACATGCAAATGCTCCCTGCTCCTCCCCTACAACAAAACTCCATAATGGTGATGAGAACATATTCATATGCAAATAAAAAAGCCTTCTTTTAATTAATGCCATTCCTTCCTCTTAGTAATATTTACCAGACTTTAAGTTACAGAATTGTCAAGTTATTGTCTAGTAACAAAGGCAATCTAAGAATTACATTTTCAACAAAACTTGAAGAATGTATTTGTTGCTCCTCTAATGGGACATGGATCACACAGGAACTTTAAAACGATTCTGTTACTGAAAAGGATCTCTTGGAAATAGCATTCACCCCTTCCTAGGACAGTTGAGGACGGCCTCCCTCCCCAAGCACGATTATCTCAGCCTTAGAGAGTCGAGGCAGGAGGATGTCAGCGAATTTGAGTCCAGCCTGTTCTGTGCTTGGAGAGAGATCCTGTCTCTACAAACAAACACAAAAGCCCAGTGACTGACCCAGATTCCAGATGATCTGTGCAAGGTTGGACGGAGACAGTCAAGTGTAAGCCTGTCTCGGGGGACGTTAGATCCTTTGTTCTGACCTATAATTCTCAGCCTAGGGACTTGGTGCTATACGTTCTTTCAGCCTTGGTTTTGTCCTTGGTCACCCCAAGAGGACCACAGCTGCCTCTCCTGCAGGGACAGCACAACCCCTAAGAGTTTCCCACTTAGTTACTTAGGGACATGTTGGGACGCGGACGTAGTTAGCTAGGCTGAGAGTGTGGGCAAAATGTCTGTAGGTCTGTATGGAACCCGTGTCCACATCAGTGTTGTGTAAGCCGCAACAGTCTTGCCGATTTGTTTTTCTACTTATTCCTATTGTATCAAGAGAAAGGAGTTTTTGATTATGTCAAAAACTTTTAGGTGTGTTTATTCTAACAGTAACTCCGGGCCGCCCCCCCACAAAAAAAAGAATTTTTTTACAGTGATTTCCTCAAGTCACACACATTGAAACCAAACCCAGTCTGTCACACTTAGACTCTAAACGCTGCTTTAACGTGAACATGAGGAGCACAGGAAGACACCACCACACTTCTGCATCTATCTGTGCTGGGGGCTGTGGGGGGGGAGGCTCTGAACTGGACTCACCCAGGACGTCTTCGGTATGTATCAGAGCATCATTCTCCTCGCTCCTGCTGACTTTGAATATCAGTTTGCAGACATTCAGAAGGTTTCTTCTGCTTACTTTAAGCTGCAGGGAAAGGAACGCGCTTGCGTTTCTACGGCAGAGGTAAAGGCAGGCTCGGCACCTCTAGAACCTCCGCACTCAGTGCAGGAAGAGGCTTTTAAACATAAGAAATGTTCCAAGGAAAGAACCTAGAAAGGCTGGGCAACATTATGCATTGGCTCTAACATCTCACTCACTTCTGTAGACATGAATGTTTTAATAACAAGGTTGGCTTCTCACTATGAAACATTGTGCACTGGTGTGTAAAACGGTTAGCTGTTTTATAAAGAGCATGGCACTAAACAGAGTAATTGATTTAAAGCGTGGCTGTAAGGGATGGAGAATACCAAAGTTCTAGATTAGCTAAGCTAATCTAGAAAAGTATTCATTGAGGGGCAAAGGAAAGAAAACACAAAAGAAGCCTGTCTCCTCTGTCATGTGTATAAAAGAATCGGAACCAGTACTTTGGATGAGACCAGGCTGTGCTTGTCCACAAGGCTATTTCTGGGATGCTTTGAGGCGACCGCTGTTTGAAGCTGAAATTCCTCTCCAAACCACACAACAATGTCTGTCAATTAAACACCAGACAATGAGGAAGCACGCCTTCTTTTATAGAAATAAAGTGAGTCTACACTAGCCACACGTTTATCTAAAGTAGTAAAGAATGGTCAACAACAGGGAATTGTCTAGTAAACTGTGGAAGAGCAAAACTATTCAAACTAAGTAAGCACCCTCCTAAAGATACTACTTGTTCCTTTTTTTAATTTTGTTTGGCTGAGGCAGAATCTCACTGTGCAGGCCAGGCCGGCCTTAAATTTACCAAGATTCACCTGAGTGCTGGGAGTAAAGGCATGGGCTATTGGGCCCACACAATACTCTAAGCAGGCGTCTGAGTTTCATCAAAACAGCATCAACAGTAAGGAGTACTGAGCCCAGCACTCACTGGGGAGGCCAGGCGTGCTTGCTGCCTGGGTCCCTGTCCCCTCCTCAGCGTCCAGCGAGGCATCCTGGGGGTCTGGCTGCCTTGTTCCCCTGGTGTTCCCAGGGCAAGCATGAATTCCTGCCGATGCTTCCCGTGTCCATGTCGGGAAGATTTTTTTTTCTTATGTAAAAATGATGCTTTTGTTTTGTCTGTTTTCCACATTAAAGAAGTTTGAGGTCATTTCTGTCCTCCTACTATATCTAATCACAAACGACACATTGGGTGCTTCTTTTGATTCTTACCCCTCTGCAAAGGGCGCCAAATTTTTCCACTTCCAGGCTACGGTTGCCCTCCTATTGAGTATGAGTGTGTCCTTTGAACACGCCTAATGCAGATTGACATATTTTCATAAGGGTTTTAAAAAAGCAGGGGTTAAAAATAAAATGGCTAACTGGCGGATCTCTATTGAGCCAAAGAATTCAAGAAACTGGGGCAATCCACATGCTTAATGCATGTTTCTAAGTAAATACTGTTAAATGGTTGAAATGCAATATCAAACTGGTGGACAGAAAAAACAATGGCAATAAGAAGGAATTCGGAGTAGAACATTGGGCTCTGTGTACCATTAATTAGCCTTTGCTTATTTTCCTTCCATGGATCTTGTGATATGGTGTCTTGAGAATGTATATAGGGACCCTATCCCAAAGCCTCATCTACACTGGATCTCCCCTGGGATGTCATAGGCGATCCAAGCAGCCAATGGGAAGTTGCATACCATTGCTTTGAAGGTCCCTTCTGAGCTGGTGGCCCTATAGTGAGTTAAGACAGCACCAACCTGGCAACCTGGCACTACAGGGCTGTCTCGGTGGTTAAGGACACTGGCTGCTTCTGCTTCAGTCCCCTGCACCCTTATGATGGCTCACAACCACCTGTAATTCCAGTTCCAGGGGATCTGATGTCATCTTCTGGCCTCCATGGGCACAAAGCACAAAAATGGTGTACCTGCAAGCCTACGTGCAGGGGAAACACTCAAATATAAAATAAAGCAAATTTTAAAAATAAAAAGAAGGCACCAACCCACATAACCCTGCATCCGAACTTAACCTTGCCTAGAAGTTTTACCCACTTAACATCCAGTTCAGAAAGCCTATTTCAGTTAAACTGCGACACACACACACACACACACACCAACTGATCTGATTTACACAACACCACCAATAACCTTGGCAATATTTTCACTGCAAAACATGCATAGCTCTGTGGTTCACACTGTCTCGTCTTCTTTTGGGGGCGAGGGGGTCATCAGGAATCACAGTGTCTGGGATCCAGATGAAAAGGCAAAGCTGGTCCCTGAGTGCGGGCAGCCCGAGTCCTCTCTGGGACAACGCCACCATCAGAGCCCTATGTGAAAATTGCCTTTCAAAGGCACATTGCATGGAGGCCCACATATCCTGACTTCTAAAAAGAGGAGGGTGGATGGTTTGTGATGACAGCTAAGTAAGGGCATAGAAAGTGTGGCTGGAATATTCTACTTATGAAAGGCTTCACTATCACAGTAAGATGAAATGGACATGTCCTCTACACTGTCAGGACACAGGGCTTCCCGTCTGCTCGGTGGCTTCCCTGTCTCCCTTTGTTCCGGTGATGGGGTGAACTGGGACATTTACGTTTATGGGAGCAGGTAAACAGAGCTTCATCCATTTGTTGTTGCCCCTCTCAGAATGTTCCAGAACTGCTAGGGCTTATCTTTTGGTTCTGACTGTTTATAGCTGTGACAACGAAGCTGCCCATCAGGTTCTGTTCAGGGCAGAGCTGACCTAGACTTTTATTTGGTGTCTGCCTTTTCTTCTAACGCTTCGCAGAAACTTTCTAGGGTCGCCAATTGACCTTCCTGTGACATGCTGCTGGTTTCCTCTCTCAGGCTAGCTCATGAAGCAATCTGGCCATTGCCTTTAGTTCTTAAACCACGAGACAGAGCTGGGTTCTCAGCAGGAACCACAGGGCAAATTCGACAGCCAGACACTGTCCCAAACTGCTCAATCTAGTTGTTTGAGCAACAGGGTTGGATATGATTGATGCTGTAAACTTTTGACTTTCCTTTTCTCTCTCGGCCTTTTGAAATGGACCCTGGGCACAGTCCAGATGTAAGCCTGTTGGGATATTCCCCACGTGCTCAGCCTTATTTCTCTGGCAACACCTTCTGATCCTGTTCTGGGATGTGAGCTTATTGCCTTAATTTTCCCAAGATCCTAAACAAACATCGCATTTTCTCACCCTTTTGCAATATGTACCAACAAACCATCTGACGAAACACAGGTGGAGGGCAGCCCGCTAGAACAAGAGAAAGAGAAACTTACTGCTAGGATAAGCTTTGCAAGTTTAAGGCTGAGCAGATCTGAGCCAACATCCACTAGTTTATACAGGGTCTTCAGCAGGACACTTCTGCCCCTAAACTTCTTTCCGAGCATGCGCCCTTCCTCCAGCGCGTGATGGAGCTGCGTGCAAGCGGCACACATCGCTTCAGCGTCTTCTTCTGCCAGAGCAAAGAGAATGAGCACCACTTACTCATTAAGGTTGAGTTTTCAGATGTGCCAGACACGAGCCGGGTAGGGAGAAGCCCCCTGGGCGTTCCCCAGGCATCTCCAGAGTCCCAGATGCCCTTCCCCACCTTCTCTCACTCCCATCTACTTGGTTGTTTTCGTGGCTCTGCTCCACCTCCTAGGTTAACATATTTACAGGCAGTCAGGTAGCTTATCTGGAGCAACAGCCTCCCAAAGCCCCCTGGCCCCCTGAAATGTGCCCTGCACCTGCACCTGCACCTGAACTCGCTTCCATTTCTCCAAACAAGTTGAATGACCCTAAAGGAGCAACTACTGTCCCGCAGGGCTATTTATTCTTCACATATGAACAGGCGTGTTGTGCTAGGTAAAGATGGAAGCTGTGAGTGAGTGAGGATCGAACCTGACTGGCACACCTGCGTGGCACAGCAGGCAATACCGAATGGATAGTCCACTACCTCAAGCAAGCTCCCCTTCTGATACACCTGCTGACGAAAACGAGTTCCTTTCAAAATGACTGGGAAAAGAGATGCAGTAGCATCCGCCGTTATTACCAAATGGGAGGGAGACCTTTAAAAAGATGTTAGGTAGGAAGGAAAGAGGGAGGCGGGAACACTTTGTTTTGGAGTTGCAATCCCGAGGGCAGTGAGTTTTGAGAGTGGGCTAACCAGGAGAGAGTCAGCGCTGGAAGAAGGCACATGGGTAGAGGAAGGAGTTCAAGGACTAGCGTGTTCTGTTGGGAAGTATCACCCCTGATGGACCCCATCACAAGACTTAAAGTGGAGAGCTGATCTTAAATAAATACCACCGTGAGCGCCTAGACGCCGACGTGGAGGAAGTGCGTGCCAGAAAAAGGAAGTGACTCAGGCCATTTTTAGCTCTTTTCAACAATAACATCTAAGAAAAAAATGTTTAAATCTCAATAGCTGAGACCCCTCCAATGCCTTTGGGTCATGCACTCGAATAAGTGAGCTGGTGAGAAATGACCAACCTGAGGTGTGCGTGTGTGTGTAAGTGTGTGTATGTCTGTATGTATGTGTGCATGTGTGTGTGTGTTGTGTGTGTATGTGGTGTGTGAGTGGTCTGTGTGTGGGTATGTGTAGTGTATGTGTGTGTGAGTGTGTGTGTATGCATGTGTGAGTTTGTGTTGTATGTGTTGTGTGTGTGTGGTGTGTGTGTGGGTATGTGTTGTGTGTTGTGTGTGAGTGTGTGTGTATGCATGTGTGAGTTTGTGTTGTAGGTGTTGTGTGTGTGTGGTGTGTGTGTGGGTATGTGTTGTGTGTGAGTGTGTGTGTGTGTGCTGAGATCTGTGTGTGAAGCACTGTTGTGTTGTTTTTTCTTCTCTCACTGGCTGCCTCCTCAAGAGTCCAGGCTTTGGGCCGCTCTCAGCTGCCTGGCCTACTCAAGACTGTTGTAGCTTACAAAAGAATTGGGAAGAAAGGCTGAAGGATCAAAGTTTCAACTTCTGACCAAGTAAGACCTCTCTATCACTCAGTATCACTGGGAGTACCGCACTCTTGAGGCTGAGGCAGGAGGATGGGAAGTTAAAGATCAGCCTGGGCTACAGATGGACACTGTCTCAAGAAGCCAAAGCAAAACAAAACAGAAAGGCACGTGGTCTCAAAAGACGTTCGTTCTAGGGCTGAAGCTAGTTAAGAATTTCAAGTGTAATCATCAGTAAGGTAGTCACCAAGTAACTCTGTCCCACAAGTCACTCCTTAACCACAAAGGGTGACCCAGCAGCTACCCAGAGCCAGGGCCTGGCAGACACCATGTGTCCCAATCGGTCAAAATTCACATTTCCAGTAAGGGGTGGGTCAGCACGAGGGCCTCCTGCCACCAGGCAGGAGAAAGATGCGGTGTAAGTGTGTGGTTATTCCTGCAAAGAGCTCTGGGGGCGATGTGGTTTCATCCCTGTCTGAATACAGAGTTTACGTGCAGCACCAGGCACCTGCTATTAGCACCAAGGCCAGAGAGCCTGTCCAGAGGACCCAGCCCATGGAGAGCACAGCCCAGCCACAGCGTGGACGCGCTGGCCACTCAGGAGGCGGGTGTAAGGGTGCACCCCTGCTCCCCTGCACCTTCCAGTGTCCGCCATGGTGCTCATGCATCCGGGGGCAGTCATGCAATTCGTCCTATTGAGGGCCCCCCACTGTGCACAAGTACCAAGCGTGGGAATTGCTCTGTGGCTCTCGTGGGTCCTGAGAATTCTAGTTCACCTTCCTTCCCAAATGGAATTCTGAAAAGCTGGGCAGAGTCTTCTAGGCAGCTCCCCATGCCCTCCCAGGAATGCCTGGTTGTGCTGCTCTGGAGTGCTAGACAAGACATATCTCAGGCCGCTTCTTCAGCCGTGTGTGTGTGTGTGTGTGTGTGTGTGTGTGTGTGTGTGTGTGTGTGTGAGCGTTTGAGCGGCCTCCCTGGCAGAGGTACTGAACCCCAGGAGTAGAGAGCATCACCAAAACCACGGGTACAGCTCTCTCACTGAGCAGACTGTGAGACCCACTAAGTTCAAGGGGCCTGCTTTCCTCGATCTTCTGGAACGTGAAGAGTCTCCCTGAAGAGGCTGAAGCAGCATTTCCTCAGGCAGAGAGACTTCACTAATCTGCACTACGGGGGAGTTTTAGAAGTTGGCTCCCTCGGGGATCCAAGTACAGTTCTACTCCCCAGCAATTTGGTTTACATAATACTTGCTATACATGTTTCTAGGGTATGTAAATACATGGCATGTTTTCATCATCTCCACAGAGATAATGGTCCAAGGACACTGAAAATATCAGGGCAATGGGGAACACACAGGTAAACGCAACACTTTTATTTAAAACAAAAACTGTTGTTTTACCCTTTTCTAATTCATGCAAAATCGGTACAATCCGTGTTTTCCAAAAGACCCCGTCTACCTCCATTTCGGTCTCCTGCTCCTGTAAGCTGGCTCCTGAGGCTGCAAAGGAATCTGGAGAAGGAAAAGGCATCGTGAAAAAGGATGCCTAACAGGGCACACTCAACAGCCTTTCCTCCACCTGCACCACTGAAATTAATGAGAGCAGAGTCAAATCTCACTTTGCCCTGAGTCCCAGCTCGAATGAGAAGCATGAGGCTTTTTCATCCGACTACCCCAAAGGAAAACAACGGACAAATGGGATTAAAGGAACCTCGGCGGGGGTGGGGGGGGGAAGATGGGGGTGGTGGGTGGTGGTGGTGGGGTGTTATTCAGAGAAACAACGGACAAATGGGATTAAAGTACTTCACAGAACAGCGTGCTGTGTGAGAGAGGGCTGCTGCCTGCAGGAAACTTGATTTTTACTTAAACTTTTCCCTCTGCAACACAGCTACGCACACATATATGTACATACATACATACACACAGTCTAAAAGCCCAAAAGACTTTGTAAAAATCTTAGTCTTTCGGGACAGACACTAAACAGGAAGTGCCAACCACGCCGTGCCTTCCTGTGGGGCAGGGGAAAAATGTCTTGCTTTCCCCATCCCAACTCTATCATTGGCATGCAGGGTGACCTTTGTCTCTCTTGCTTAGAACCTTCCCTAGTCCATTTCCTCATCAGCAGAAAGGGGAGTATCTGCTTTTAGGACTATGAAAGCTAAATGCCACAGTGGAGGCAAAGCCGTGCCCGAGGGCCACACATGTCGCGACACCGACACCGAGGGCCTGAGAACCTCTCTTCCCTGACTAAGCCCGTAAGTAATCACACGTGTGTCACCGCTGAGCCTCCACGCTGCACACTCTAGAGGGCAATGCTCCCACTGGCTGGCATCAGCTTTGCAGAAGGGGGAGCATCACGGGACAGGAGGGGCTTTCCTTTCCTCCTTCCCTCCTCCCTCCTCCGCCCATTGAAACAAGGTCTCTCTGTCACTGAACTCACTACGTAGCCCCAGCTAGCCTTGAACCCTCGGCCTCCCAGGATTACAGGTGTGTGCTGGCACACCCAACTGAGGCTCCTGTTTCATTGTGTTGCTTCTGAAGACGGAGAAAGTGGAACCCAGGTAGAAGGTGGGCTTATTAAATTATCCTCCTGAAGCCAAGCAACTCTGCTGCCCTTGCCATTCGGCTCCACCGAAAACCAGCAGATTAAAAGGCAGCAATGCATGAGACAGAAGTCATAGAGAAAACAGCAAATCGTGATTTCACCTTGCAGAGGCAGTGTCTCAAATCACCAACCAGAGCAACACAGGAAGGCACGGCGTGGTTGGTACTTCCTGTTTAGTGTCTGTCCTCTATTGCCTGCATCCTGTGCCCCTAACCTGGCACCAGAAAAAAATGTGCATGAGCTGCTGGAAATCATAGGAGCAATCAGAAGATTCTATACACACGGCCATATTTATGTTTCTTACAGTCCTTGATTTGTTTATAGTCTCTCCTTCTGGACTCCAACGCTTGCATGTACACATACCCATATGCAGATACATACATGTACACATAACCAAACGCAGGTATTTAATGCACACATAATTAAAAATAAGTCTTAAAAAAGAAATCCCCTAACTCTTCTCAACTGTTTGTATGAAGGGCAGAACTTGTGTATAACCTGCAATGGCATGTGCTTAAAATTTAATTTGGATCTATAGCGATGTCTGAAATGATTCTTCAAGCCACCAAATGGGAAACTTTTCCCCACGCAGCTCTGAGGTCTCCCAGGAGAAGCGAGGAGGCTGTGCAATTAGCATCTGTTTCTCAGTGCCCAGGCCTCGCCGCCGTATTTTGGGACTGTCTACTCCCTGTTGCAAGTGTCGCTTGCCTTTTATCAAACCTTGCTTGTGCCAAGGAAAAACCCAGAGCACCAAAGCAAACAGGGAATTCTTGACAACTAAACTGTGGTTAAATGGTAAAGATAAAGTGTCGAGACAGGAAGACTTTGGCCAAGCTATCCAACCCACGAGCAAGACTTCATAGGACAAAACTGAATTGTATTTAGGAGCCAGGTGTGGGGCAGGATTCAGGAAGGAAGCTGTGCCCATAACAGGGTCTTAGTCTAGCAGAACCCTCACATTAACAGGGCTCACACTACAGCTCTGGTCAGATCTGCCATTGCTACTAACTGCATTTGGGAGGTAGCTCAACTTTTGGAACTTTTGGAGTTTTCAGAATAGCTGGCTGTATTTTTTAGTATGCCCAAACTGTATAAAACATGAATATGATTGAGAAAGCAAACACAAACATTCAAGCAGTATAAAAATGCAACTGCTCACATTCCTAGGTGACTAACCTACTTAAAGGCCGAAGTATATAAACAAAATCAGCACTTAAGAAGGCAAATGACAAGCCAGATAAGTCAATAATAATACATTTCCTTGACATATGTGTGAAACACTTAAATTTGCTAGGGAGTGGGCTGGGGAGATGGCTTGGTTGGTAAAGAACCTCTGCCACAGGCCCGAGAACCCGAGTCCGGGTCCCAGCGCTAATGCAAGAAGCCAGGCATGGTGTTATACACCTGTAACCCCACAACATGGGAGCAGAGAAAGTTTACCGGTCAGTTCAGTGTGGCCAAATGGTGAGTTCCAGGTCCGCTGAGAGACTCTGCCTCAAAAAATAAGGTGCAGAGCTGCGGGAAGAGACACCCAGCATCGACCTGTGGCATCTACAGGAGCATGAACCTGCTCCCACCATCAAAACCGGAAAATGACTGGAAGTTCAGGCTTTAAGTCTGTATGGTCTTTAAAAACAAACAAATGGAAAGCAACAACAACAACAAAATATCAAACAAACAAACAAACAAACAAACAAACAGAAGAGCAGTGTGTTCTTCTGTGTTCAGCTACGAGAAAGCACAGTTAGCGAGTAGTCCCTCAGGAAGAGTGAAATCACACACACTCACGATGGGAAGAGAAGATTACAGAGGTGAGTGACAAGTCGCAAAAGTTTAGCTGCCTCCTCAAGACCCTTCTGAAACCTCCAGACTGTGGTATAAGGGTTTATTCTAGGTCTTTTCCCATTGATGCGGTTGTGTCTGGCCATGGCCTCGTCACTTCTTAATCCCTGTGCCATCCTTGTTGCTCCTACAACCTCTGTGCTAGACACTACTCCCAGTTAATTCTAGAAAACAGAAACGTCACACACACACACACACACACACACACACACACACACACACACACACACACGGTCTCAGTCTCGGGGAACAACTAGGCTCACAGTTTGCTAAACATAAAAATTACCATCCAACAGGAAATTGGGTAGGTCAGGCAGAGGCCCTGCCTGTTTTTGAAGATTCTGCTGCCTCTGTGGTTACAGTAGTTAACTGCAGCTTTGAGTTTTGGACACAACAGCTTGACACCGTGTTAGGATTGGCTGACGTTTTTTAGCACGCAAATGTAAAGCCCTTGGCAACAGCGCTGTCTTGGGAGTCTGGAAGGGCTTAGATTCTTCCTAGCGCTAGATCCATTCCCTGTGACCGCAAAGAGCCTTCCCGATGAGAAGCTAGTTTGAAGATAACGCTTTTCACCCAGCGCTGATTTTGATGCTGTTTATCATCATTTTTATTTTCCTTGAGACAAGGGCTTAACTGTGTCGCTCGATCCCACTTGCAATTCATAATCTTCCTGCTTCTGCCTCCAAAATGTCCAGATTATACATGTATATTCATTCAGCCTGACATAAAATTTGGTGTGAACGAATGAAAAAAAAATATGAAGAATGTAGCAAACACTTGGGCAGCCCTGAGTAGCCTGGCCCAACATTAACATTGTGCCACATCTCTATCTTTCTTTTTATTTTAAAGATTTAAAACCCTGTCCACACCCTTCCCCCCTTGAGGGGTCACCAACCTTCAAATCGGGTGGGGAGGGGGTGACCAAGCTTGGTCTTCCCAGAAGACCAAGGCACAGGGATACCTAACCTAACACTTCCTTTGCTGGTTGTGCTCACTCCAGTCAATGTTACAAATGCCCACTGGTTCAGTTTTCCCAGAGCCACATTTTGTGCCCTTGGGCTATATTGTTCTATATTTTCTCAGGCACAATAGAGCTCCCACAGGGCTTTCATAATAACATTTCATAGCTTCATTTAAACGGGCAATGCTTTTGAACTTGAGCTTAGAATTACACCGGTGTCATGTTTGGCCAGCCTCCAGATATTTTTACTCTACAATTTCTGTGAGCATCTGTCCACAGTGCAGTCATCAGATTTGGGTACTCGTAAGACTGAAGTGAATAATGAAAACTTAGGAAATAAATGTTGGTTTCTGAGCAAGTTGCTTATAGCTCCTGAAGTTGATGAACACAGAATTGTTCATCAGGATGCAGTGTGTGTGTGTGTGTGTGTGTGGGGGGGGTGATGCTGAGGGTGAACCATGTTGTTGAGGGCCAAGAACACAAGTCTCTCACCTGCTCTGGTTTCCAGTCTGCTCAGCTCTGAGCTGCTAGGACTCGAGGAGACCCTGGCACGCCCCTTCCCCTGGCCCCTAGGAGGAAGTAGAATGAACGAAACAGAAAGACATTTTTCATTTATATAAACAGCAACTTGTTCATGTAGGCTTCTGAGGAAACCGCAGAGAATAGTTTAAGAGATGGTGTTCAACTGTCTGCTTTAACACACTTTTGCTGTCTAAGATTTATCTGCAGGAACACAAGTCTACTTGCTTAACAGTATGAAATATAACACTAGAAAGAACCAAAAATATAAATCCAAAGTTGACTGGGGGTGGGTGGGGGGGTGGGTGAGGGGTGGGGAAGGGGAGGAATGGTTATGGGCCACAAGAGGTCGCTGTTACAACAAGAAACAGTTGGAAAACCGCGAAGCGGCCTGATGCGTCCAAGGTCACTCAGCAGCGGGGTCAGCTCTGGGAGGCTGAGCTCCTAATTTTCAACCCAGTGTTCTTCCCGCCACACCATGCTTCATCCATTTAAAACTCAATTCAATTAATGCTCTCTAAAAATATTCACAGAAATATTTTAAATGAGAGAGAGAGAGAGAGGTGCACTTAGGCAACCCCCAGACTGAGATGCATTTTGTGTTCCGAGTAAGCGTGGCCATGGCTGGTCACGGATGGGGGTGTTGACTGGCTGTTGCTGTTGCCTGGCTGCAACCTAACTACAGTTGGCTTGAGGGTGCTGCCTTTTCGATATCTGTACAAGGTGTGGGAAGGGGACGAGAGAGGGTCATGGAGGTGAAGGGACCACAGGCAAATGCCGGGAAACCCATTATTCTCTATAATTGGAATATGCAAATAACAACAGGGCTGGTGAGATGGCCCGGGGGAAAGGGTGCTCGCCGCCCCACAAGCAGGGCCACCTCGGTTTGGTTTCCAGAGCCCACACGTGTGCTGTGACACTAGCTCATACGCGCCATAATACATAAGCATGTAAATTAAAAATATCCCCAATGGAATGGGAAGCCAAGGAATTTACTCTAACCTGAAAGTTTGTTTTTTTTTTAATATTTATTTATTTATGGCTAGCATTCTGCCTGCATGTATCGCTGTGGGCCAGAAGAGGGCATCAGATCTCATTACAGGTGGTTGTGAGCCACCATGTGGTTGCTGGGAATTGAACTCAGGACCTCTGGAAGAACAGCCATCTCTCCGGCTCCTGTATAACCTGAAAATTTTAAGATTAAGAATTTCACAGATATGGTGTCTCTGTGTGTGTGTGTGTGTGTGTGTGTGTGTGTGTGTGTGTGTGTGTGTTGAGTAAACACAGAGATTATCAAGACAGTTTTCAGCTTACAGCCCTGGCCCCAAATACCTGTCCAGTCTCTCTGTGTCATGGCCAGGGGTGAGGTTGGTTCCAGGATGACTCCTTTGTGCAGCCTCATTTCTAGAAAAGAAAAGAACACGAAGGATGTACACAGGCTTGTCAGCATTGCCCCCTCCTTGGTCCCCGAAAGGGGCAGGCATGGGACTCATTGCCACTATACATGGCCATCACAGTAGAGGTGGACACTGAGCGCAGGGACGCCTACCCAGCCTGAGTTCACATCCTGGGTCAGCATTCACAGCCTTGTGACCTTGGAAACCTACATGGCTCTGGGCTCTCCATCCTAAAAGAACAGCAATGCCTCTGTTTAAGAGGTGGGCGGGCACACCGAGGGCTCTCAGCAAGGTGTCAGGACTATTTGCGTGGTCCTGTGGGTACTGGTACAGGAGATACTTTCTCTGAAGAAGGTAAAACCCTACCTTAGTGGGTAGTCCGAAAGGACTGGAGAGACGCGGAGGAGGAAAGATGACTGTGTGTGTGTGTGGGGGGGGGGGGGACACAGTGCCCCTTAAAGGACTAGAAACTGAAGTAGCAGCTGACAACTCCAGCCACTCTGTAAGTAGCCGGAGTGAAGAACAGAGGGTCCCAGGAGCCTGATACTCTTGGGCAGGCACAGAGTTTCTGCTGGGAAGAGGGACCAGCTCTGGGATCTGGGGCAGACACTAAGCCAATAGCCAATTAAGGGAGGGCATGAGATTGTGATGGGGGGATGGGGCAACACCAAGACAGAGCCCTGAGGGGAAGGATGAGGGGGAGGTAGGGTTTCCAGGATCACAGGGGGGCTAGAAAAGAGATGTGGGACTCTGTAAATGAAAAGGTGACAGGACCCGGGCCGATTTTAGGCATCTGAAGAACAGAATTACAGATCTGGGGGACCTGGATGGCAGGGCCCTACCAAAGTGGCCGTGAGGGCCAGGAGGGCAGTTTGTGGGACCAGAGTCACGGAAGAGTAGCCCCAAGCCCGAGACCCCGGGCCCCTGGGACCCCAGCGCGTTTGTGTGCAAGGACAGAGGCGTCGGAAAGGAGGGGAGAAATGGACCTTTGTGCAGTTGGCGCATGCCTGGAATGAGGACCCAAGGGGGGATGGGGTCACAGCAGCTGGGGACGGAGGAAGGATGTACTGACTGGCCGAGGCAGGCCAGCTGGGTGTCCGTGGAGCGTTGCTGCTAAAGACCTGCACAGACGTGAGCAAGAAAGATGGGCACCAAGAGGAAGTCGGAGTTGTATGGGCTCAGGAGAGGCAGGGACCTTTGTGAGTGCAAGGTGAGCTGTGTTCACTCTCTGAGGGTGGGAAGAAAACCCCCTCCTTCCCTGAAGAGGAGGAGCAGCAGACAGGTGGCCCGCGTGCTCCAAAGAGCTTGCACGGCCGACCGAAACCACACGAAACAAACTTGTATCTCCCCCCTGCCCCCCCCAGAAATCCTTTAAATAGTTTTAATGCTCCTGTCTCTTCACACGGTCTCCAGTGGCTTTCGCCCCTTTGACAGCTTTGCCATTGAAGGTAAGTTTTTTACTGCGAATAGGTTTCCTCGTCAGTACACAAGGGTGGCCAGTCATGGTGCTCCCCAGTCATGGTGCTCCCTTGATGCGGCTGCAGGAAGGACAGAACGCTTTGGAACACGGAGCTCATGCCTGTGCTCACTATTCAGTCCTGAGCCCTGCAAATGCTTGCTGCCCACAGGGTATATCTTCATGCCTTTGCTGGCTGGACCCTCTGTTCACAGTCTGTCTGCTTCTGCCCCTTGAAAAGGAACCCTAGGTCTGAGCTCACACTATGGCCAGAGAAGGAGCAGGTACTTAGATGACGTAGCCCGACCCCACAATAGCATTTTCAACAGTCATATCCCACGGTTAGATTAGTCAACGCCTTTTCCTACATGTGAGGCTAAGGCAGATGTCCCTGTGCTTTGAGACCTCTGCACGGCGTTAGATTCCAGCACCGGGTAGGCAGCGATGTCCTGCCCATCAGATGCATTCAGGTCCCGATTCAATCATCCAGGGTCACTGATCTTGCCAGCTTCCTGCTCCATGGCATCAAACAACATTATTAAATTTTCCACAATGATTTCTTTTTGATGTGCCCAAATAAAACAATTCTGGAAATTGGCCATTGGGCTCTTCTGTGACATTCTTTTCAGAGGAAGAAAACTGCCTCCATTTCATTAGTTAGGACGTCAGTGTACAAATGGAAACCTAATTTCAAGGACTCGGACATTTGCTGGCATTTGCTGGCTCACACAGCCAGGAAGTGACTTGGTGGCACGGGGCTTTGAGGAAGGCGTGGCCAGGGCTGGGCTCTACATCTTTGCAATTATCTAAGCTCTGCCCTGGCTACAGGTTGAAGGCCTAGTGAAAACACAATTTTGGTGTGGTTTTCCCGGGTCCTCTCCTCTTCAGCCCTCAGGGTTCAGGAGGCAAAGTCTTCTGCCCCGTCCCCGACAAGGGTCTTACCTTTTGCTTGACTGTAGACCCAACCATAGCAGGCAGCCAGCCCATCCATCCGTGGACGGCACAATCAATCATCCCAACCACTACTGCCGGACCAGAAATACCCCGAGGAAATAAAATAATAGCTCTTTAAAATATTTCAAAACTATAGATTTTGCTATAATTCAAGACAGTTCTTCTAGTTATTATAATGACAGTTCTTCAATTAAGGATCAGCAAATGTTTTCTTAAAGGGTCAGCTAGTATTTTATGTATTTTACAATTTGGGGGCCAAGGGGCAAAGTCAAGGATTTTATATATGAATGTATGTATGTATATATCTATGTAACTATTTAAAATATAATGTTTTAAAAAATATTGAAACCATTTTTAGCTTAAGGGTTGTAAAAAGTAAAGCACATAGACAAACAGATTTGGCTCCTTGGCTGTAAAAAAAAGTAATATGGGTAATAATAACTAGTTAGAGTTGGCTGCTATTTTTTGTTTTGTTTTGAGACAGGGCTTCTCTGTGTGGCCGTGGCTGCCCTGGAACTCACTCTGTAGACCAGGCTGGCCTCGAACTCAGAGATCTGCCTGCCTCTGCCTCCCAAGTGCTGGGATTAAAGGCTTGTGCTGCTACCACCAGGCTACTAATTAGATTTGGAATTAAGAAAAAAAAAATCCATTTTAAGAAAAGTTACGTTATAGGAAGTGAAAAAGAAAATTTAAGAACGGTTACAACAGAAGGCAAATGTGTAAAGTTTGAGTGGAAGTTTTCTTTGTCTTAAGTAAAAGACGCTTCATTTTTAATACTGGCTTCAAGTTGAGACTGAAATCAGGTGGCAAATGTCTAGACATTGTCACTACATACTCTCAGTCTCAGATGGTCAGCTCACTTCTGTCCAGTGACCCCAGCTGCTGACAGAATGTAAATACAAGCATCCAGCTGGGTTCAAACAATCCTCACCTCAGAAGCAAGCCTTGGACGTTGGTTAGCTACTCCACCACAGAACCTTGCAGTCTTGACACTTTGACTGCAATTTTGGAATGCCACCATCAGGGGGTGCTAGCCCTATCCTCTTCTGACTCAAGCTTGGGGGTGGATGGGTGGGGCCTGTGTGCACCCAGGGCCACAGGGAAACAGCAAGTGTGGAAACACAGTGGGAGGCCAGGCGTGCCACACCAGGACCACTCCCTTAGCTAGCGGGAAGTGGCAGAGCGCTGTGCTGCAGAACCATTCTGCCTGTCTTCCCTACACGGAAATAATTTCAGCTACATTACCCTTCTTTCCTAAAAGAATAATGGCTTCCTGTGGTGTGTGTGTGTGTGTGTGTGTGTGTGTGTGTGTGTGTGTGTGTGTGAAAGAGAGAGAGAGAGAGACATTCATATTTCGAAAAGGTCAGGTAATAATCAAAGGTACGATGAAATTTTTTAAAACAACCAGATTCCACTAGCCAGAAATAAACATCATTATTGTGTGGTAAATGTTGTTCCGGTATACTTTGCACACACACACACACACACACACACACACACACGAAGGGAAGAACAGAAGGGAGGGTAGGAGGGTAGGTGGGGAGACACAATTATACCATGTACATTATTGTAATGAAAAAGTGCCAAGTTTGCTCAAATTAAAGAAAGAAAACAGAAACAGAGTCGGTGAAACCATAGGAACCGCAGAACTTCAGACGAACGGAGTCTTCCCAAGAGATATTAGTTTCTGAAGGATCTCTCTAAAGTTAAGGGAAGAAAGAATAGTGAGCGACATTAGGGTGCTGGAACGGTCTCAGCCTCAACGGCAGCCTAGGAGGCGGGCTTACAGAAGCCGAGAGGTTCAAAGTCACACTTCCTCCCACACTCCGGCGTGGTTACTTATATTTGACCACACTGCCTGCCCAGGCTTCTGCTCTGTAACCATCGAGGTTTGTTCAGTTTTCATAATGGGAAAATAAAGTCAATACTCAACGTGGAGGCTTTACCATAGCCTTTCGAATTAACGTTTTCAATTCTGACTCATCATTCCGTTGTCTAAGAATTTTCTAGAAAGCGCATGAACAATACTGCCTAGGTTCATTAATATTTGGGAGTGCCTGCCTGCTGCCCTTTCAGTGAAGGACAAACGGCTGCCCGTACAATTCTTGTTCTCTCCCTTTATACTCCTCTCTCTTCTGGCATCGGGAGATGCTCAGCTGAAGCAGGAGAAACATTTTGCCTTTCTCTCCTTTCCTGTGGCGTTGCTGGTTGGGCCTGAATGGTCACAGGATGCTTTACCCAACCAAGTGTACCCTAGTGTGAGCACCTGCTGGGAATGTCACATTGTGAATTTTTCCGTGCTGGATTTTGTTGGGCCACCAGTGTCCATTTGAGATTTAAGTCTTTACTGACTACAGAAGGCTGTCTTTTGGTACATCTTAATTTTTCTTTTCTTCTGTTTATTGGCTCTGACTTTCAGTGGGTTGTTGCAAACTTTGAGAAAATACATAGATAACTTGGTCCTCAGTTCCAAGTGAGCCCGTGCTAGGACAGCACCTACAGGAGCCCGGGGTTCTCTTCAAACATACAAGTTTCCTCCTTCTCCCCATCTCATTCCCCACTCAACCTCTTTGCTGTATTCTATTCTTTCCCTTTTCTCTGTGTGTGGTTTCTTCTGGCTTGGTTACCATATCTCATATTCCCAGCTTCTTTTATTCTAATTTTTAAGTCTCTACCATGGCTTTCGTCTCCCTGTTAATATATTTATCCTTCATTTCTTTCTTTCTTTTTTCTTTTTCTTTTCTTTCTTTCTTTCTTTTTTTTTTTTTTTTTGAGTACTACAGTTTATTTGATCTTGAGGGCCTGTAATCTCCACAGAGCTCTATTCCCACTTCCTAAAGGGGGAAGGATCAAGCCATCCACACTTCCTGTGAGACAAAGAGGAGCATTTTCTTCCTCTATCTTTGTTATGTTCTCTAGGAGACTTTTCATCCTGATATTGTCTGTCTTTCCTTGCCAACGGTGAATATGATCCAGAGAGGGCGAGAACTGAAGGACTGGACAGCTGATTCATTACTCTGTAGACTTAGGAAGCTGTGTTCCCCTGGTGTGTGGAGACAAACCGCTGACACACACACAAGCCCTCTTACACAATAGACAAAAATCTTTACATTCTAATTTGTTGAACCTCTTTCTCAGAACCCCATACTTCTCATTCTATCCCCCCCCCACTGCTCACAGGCAATGAAGAGTCACCCCAAGACCCATCCTGCCCTCCAGTCAGTCCATGATCTGCACCTTTAATGGAGCCTCCCATGGGGATGCCTGCCCACATCCTCAGATCTAGTCTCTCCCATCAGTGAATAGACACACACTCCTAATGAAACTTTCTCAAAGTCTGAGGAAGTGTGCAGCAACCCTCAGCATTGAGTTGTGTGCCTTTAATTTAAAATATGGATAGTTCAGACCTTCAGGATGCCCTAGAGTTTAACTTTATACTTAAAGTGGAAAATTTGCTAAGCAAGGTAGCAAATGTTGGAACTCTGAAAGAGAGGCCTCTCCCGAGCACTGGGGAAGCTGTGGTTATCATCTGTGTGCCTCTTACTACAATCTCCACGTGTCCATTGGAAAGTCACTGGAGGGTTAGAGGCCACAGGCCATTAGCTCTTACTCTGGCACCACAGGGATTGAACGCAGGAGAGCTGGCACTTTGTAAAAGTATGTGTCTCTACCCTTCCTCCTGCCCATCTGCCCTCCCTCCCGCCCACCTACCCACCCATCCACCCACCCATCCACCCACCCACCCATCCACCACCCACCCACCCATCCACCACCCACCCACCCACCCATCCACCCACCCACCCACCCACCCACTCACCCATCCACCCACCCACCTACCTGTGAGTTCTGTGTTGAACCCCTTTATGTAAATGCATAAGTGCTTCTTAAAACTCTGCCCCCTCTTACCCCCACCCCAGCCCCCTCTTACCCCCACCCCCCAGCCCACTCCCCCCTACCCCAGCCCCCTCCCCCCACCCCTGCTGGATCATCTCCCTTCACAGTCTCAGGGTTAGAATAAAAACAAAACAAGGCCTTGCTGATTGAGGGGAGGGTATATCTAGCAAACACAGGACGCTCCCCTGCTTGGTTCTTGGAATTATAGTCACTTAAATGTTTACAGGAAACAATTATTGAATGTCCCTGACTGATTCACAAACGTAATTAATGAGAATTGCTAAGAGTTTCCATTTTCTCGTTTGTTTTAACCCCTCCCCGCCCCCCATGTAAACTTTCCTGTTGGCCTTTCTTCAGAAAATTCCACCCAGTGCTGGAAGGAGGCAGAGGCTGATGGAGAATGCAGAGACAGGAGCACAAACTCCAAACTCCACCCGAGCATCCCACGAGGCAAAAGGAAAAACGGTTAGAGATGCTGCCGGAGCCGGGCGTTTTGTCCAGGCAGGAGGAAGCGCCTGTCCGGCCCCTAATGGGTTTGTCCTATGCTGGTTGTGGGATAAAGTATGTCACTAAAGAGTCCCTGCTGTCCCAGAGGCACAATGAACCCTGGTGTGTCCAATTGTTTCACAACATCCGACATTTCATGGAAATAAATAAACAAAGGACTTCGCTCTCTCTCCTCCTCCGCCAGCTCCCAGTCAGTCAGCATTACTGTGAGGATGGATGGATGGGGTGGGGGAATGCTCTCTTGGAGTGGGGCCCAGCCCGGCTGCCCGCCTTTTGCACTGGGCTGGGGGCTGGGGTGACGTGCGCTCCACAGCCTGCACACCACTCACCACCTGGGGAAGAGCTGCTGGCGCGGGCCTGCTTGATGCCCTGTGCTCCGCTCCCAGAGTCCTAATTTGAAGTTGTTCTCTCCCATTTGAGGAGATATGTTGTCTTCCCCTTAATTTGAAAAATGTCCTGAGTGCAAAGCAACATGGCAAGGACTTGTAGGTAGCCTAATATAAATTCTCAGTGTGACTCTCTTTAGGCTCTGCCAGCAGGACAAGGTCAGCTCAGCTAAACTAACAAGCTGCCAGCTGCCCCGGGGGTTGGGAGTGGGGGGAGGGGAGGGGGGTGAAGCGGCCTGTGTGGAAGAGCCAACTTCAGATCCAAAATCTACAATGAGAGCAACAAGGACTCTCGGGGCCTAAAATGGCCTGTGGAATTTAATCTTGTTAAACAAATTTGAACTGGGCATTTGTCCATGATGACCCAGTGGAAAGTTCTAGAGAAAAAAAAAGGATCTTTAACTGAGTGACCCTGCTGATCTTAGCATCAGGACCGGGGACATGGCCTGTCCTCTGTTCTATCTGCTGCTCTGCGACCTCTAGATGTAAGGTTCTAGCAAATCACCACGGTGGGGGTGAACATAACTCCCACGCAATGCTCCTTTCTGCACTAAACCCCGGTGTGGCAGGAAAGTGTTTTGGGGAAGCCCTAGATAAGAATGATACATAAAATAGACGAATTCCCCGCCATTCGGGTATGAGGGGCAAACCAATCCCACAGGGTGTTCCTGTGCTAGCAGAGTAAGTATTTAAACCAAGTTTCTACTGGAGAATAACACAAGTGTCCAGCCTTGGGGAGTTTACAACGATGGAGTAAAGCAAAAGGCAGCCAGTCGTCACAGGGGACCCCAGGCCCAGCAAGAGTCGCAAATACTACAGAAAAGGAAGGCTCATCTGCCCCGCAGGGCCAAGCTGAAACCATCCTGCTTCTGCTTTATCTGACAGGCCTGCGCTCATCATTTTGGCCATTATGCATAGCAGGGTTTCAAAGGATGAAGCAGGGAATAAGGGAGAGCCAACCCTACTCAACCAGGAGGAGAAAAAGACCTTTCCTATCATACACAAACCAAAAGCCTGGCTTATATAAGAGGCGGGAAAGAACTGGTGAGTGACTACAGTTACCCTCACCCAAAAATCCACAACAAAGAATACTGACCCTCCGCTGCTCTGGAGAGGAGCTGGTGGGGATGACTCCTTGAACACGTCTTGCTCTTCGGTTTCTCTGAAGCCTTGGTCATAACTAAGCCGGGGTGGGTGGCTCTTTAAGTGACCAATGGCATTTGAAGCTCTTAAATACGTCCCATTTATTTTCGCTGTAGAATTCCCCACGGTAACAGTCTCTTTGGATTCCTCCGTGGTCTTTGCTGAAAAAGCAAGGCAATGTTTTCTCAGTACATTTCTTACTTCAGGAATTCCTACCTTTCAGTGTTTGGTTTGCAGTCTATGGATTTATATAGAAGTTACCCATGGCTTGTAATCAAGTCTGGAGTTTTTATGGTTAAAACCTCTCTGAACATAAAACCCTACTGAAATTTCATGCTTGGCACCATCCTGTCTGTGGACAAAAAAAAAAAAAAAAAAAAAAAAAAACAAAACCCGAATAGGATATTAACTCTATTGGCTTGACATCTACCTGAAGGAAATCACAGGCACTTCAGTTTATGAACTACCCATCTCACTAAGTACGCCTAGGCCCCATAACAGTAATTCTTCCTAGACACTATGTTAGTATTTTTCCACTAAAAAAATAAAAGTTATGGCTGAATGTGAAGGCAGACACCTGTAATCCCAGCCGACTGGGAGGTAGAAGGAAGGAGTTACAAAGTCCAGAGTCAGCCTTTACCACATAACAAGTTCTAGGCCAGCCTGGGTTACAGGAGATTTGGTGTCAAAGAATCAAAACGCCGTCTGCTGTTACACAGGGAAACATAATAACAGAGGGTCAAATACAAGTGGCGCTTCAGTGACATGAGAGATTTCCTTAGTCCCGGGACTTACGCGGGTCTTTCTGTGAGTAGTATACCATAACCAACACAATACACATCGGGTTTTAATGAGGGCAAACAGAAAGGAGAAAACTGGAGGCGAGGGAAGGGGGCTGGGAGGGAGACAGACAGAAGTTTTAGCGGGAGGTGGAAGCTGTTAGGGCAGGGAAGGTGATGTGTTTGGAGTAGGGGCTCTGAGGCAGGAGTGTGCCCAGGTGCCCAGGGTGGTGGAGGCAGAGGGTTGGTCCCAGGGTCCCAGGGTCCCAGGGCGGTAACAGTGTGACCCACTGAGAGGCTTCCTGAAGAGGGGCCAGTAGGCTACAAGATCACAGCTCACCCTGCAAACAGAGCAGAGCAGAGCACACGCTGATACACAGATTAACTTTCCTATCAGCAAACAGACATCAGGAATAGCTCGGTCGGCATCCACCTGCCCTTAGCCTAGTCTAGTCTGTGTGAAAAGGGAGGAGAGGATAAACCTCCCTATCGTGGGTGAGGGTTGGGATGGAGTGAGCTTCGTGTAGGAAGATACTTTTGAGTTTTTCTGCACTTATTTAGAAACCAGCAAGCCAATGAAAGCTAACAACGGCAAAAGGCCCTCTCCACCTGGCCCTGCTTTCAAACGTCACATCTGGAAGCTGTAAGGAGCCTTAAGGGTTGGCTGGAATGAGAGGATCAAGACCTGAGAAGGGATGCTGAGGACCTCCAGGTCACCCCACAGCAGCCTGGCGGGGGGGGGGGGGGGCTCTTGTGTTTGGGGGTAAGGGTTTTGGCTTCAGTTCCTTCATGCTCGGTTCAAGGATAACCAGCCGAACGTCTGCTCTGAGATGTGTTCATACCTAATTTTCCCACCTTCTCCAGCCACCTCCATTTCGGGCACATGGCAAGAATTAATTGATGGGGCCTAGTACAGTGACTTGTACGGTGTCGTCTCACTCAGAACTTAAGTTTAGTGTTAGTACTTGTGGGACCCACGAGTCCTTGCTCTGGCCTGTGTCCATCTACCACACGGCCCTGAACAGCTGCCCCTCCCATGTAGAAAGCACAGGCTGCCTTAGGTTATAAACTTAGGTTATAAACCACTTCAGCCTCTCACTCTGCACTTAGCATTTTTTTTATTCACTCTCTCTGCACATACTTAGTAAAAAAACCAGGACCTGTCAGGTGCTGCACGTGTGAGCCTGTGGTGAAAAAGTCCCAGCCTTCACTGATCTTCCCCAGGGAACACAACAGGTCTGTAGACGGAGGAGCTGTAGCCCTCTGTCCTCACAATGATGCACAGAACATGTCACGATTCCCACAGAGGGCAGCTGGCCTGACACTCCCTCTGACTCCAGACGGAGAACCGGAAAGTGAGCACAGTCAGTCACAGTGGCGTACACATAATCGCAGCACCCAGGAGGCAGAGGCAGGAGGATTGCTGAAAGTTCAAGGCCAGCCTGGTCTATAATGCAGGACCCTATCTCAGAAAACAAGCAGGGCTGGAGAGATGGCTCGGTGGTTAAGAGCACTGACTGCTCTTCCAGAGGACCTGGGTTTCATTTCCAGCACCCACGTGGGGGCTCACAATTATCTGTAACTCCAGTTCCAGGGAGCTGGACACTGTTCTGGGCTCGGGTGACACTTGGGACATATGCAGGAAAAACATTCATAAAAGTAAAGTGATATGTATACTTAAAAAAAAAAAAAGCAAACAAAACCCAAATCAGGAAAGCAAACAAAACTCGGCACACAGCATGATTCTCAGTGCCTTCCCTCATACACATGGACACCTGTGGAATTCCACTGCAGTCCCTGGTTCTCCAGCTGGAGGTACGGTTTAGGGAGGCTGGGAAACTCGGGGTGGGCGTGGCCCAGCCCAGAGAAGTAGGCTGCTGGTGGACAGGTTTGGAGGTTCAGAGCTCCTAGGATGCAGGAGGACAGGCATTGGGACATTACAGGGCTGGAGCCAGGTCACGGAAGCTGTGCTTACAAAGGAATCAAAGGAATTAGGACTCCATCCCCTTGGTTTCTACCCCGTGTTTTAAAATAACTTGCAAAATAAAGATGCCCTTTTGTAATTTTGGGTGGGTGGGTGGGCTGGGTGTGGAGTGTGTGTGTGGGGGGGAATCAAGTGAACTTCGGCGTATTATGACCAATGAAAACCAGCAGCCACTAAGTCAGCGATGGCTAACCCCACGCTATAAGGGCAGAGTGAACTATTCAGAGTGGAGATGGACCACCAAGACCTAAAGTATTTATTGTCCAGACCTTTACAAAAAAGGTTTTCTGCCTTCTAGAACAGACTAGTACTTGCCCAACTGGGTTCCTGAGAGAGTCCACAGCCAGGTCGGGCTGGGGAATGTGGGCCGCATGAACACTCAGTGGCTTTCTATCTTGTCCGGAGTGCCTTTCTCGACCCTCTAGAAAGCACCACAGGGCCAGGAATGAGCACCCCCTCCCGGGATTGCCTGAACTCTGGGCCTATTCCCAAGGAGGGGCTATTAACACTTTGTCAGCAGCACCCTCTGGAATTTTCTGGAACTCAGTGCGGTCATATTGCTGGAGGCACAGAGGTCTTCTTTAGGACTTTGAACAAGCGGTGGTTTCCCTCCCTCCCGAGCCACTTGATGTTCTGCGGGGCACAGAATATATGAACATTCCCCATGGCCCTCGGGACTGAAGGGGTAGGGTGTCTGCTCCATGCACCAGTCACTAGGAACTTGGCTTCTCTGGGCTCTGCTGACACTTCCCAAGGTCCTGTGTTGAGACCCTGCAAGCCCCCGAGGGCTAGAACAAATCTAAAGGGAGCACAGCAGAGGTGGTGAAGGCTCTGGGAGCCGCAGGAAAGGAGGGCACAGACTCCGTCCGTCCGTCCTAGGAAGCTTCGGGGGGCTTGGTGATGGAAAATGTGACAGGGTCCAGGATACAGTGGTGTCTGTATCCCGGGGTTTGGATAACCACAGGGGTGGGGAAGGATGGGGGGGTCAACCATGGGTCATCACTTCTAGAGTCAAGCCTGCCCTCACCGCCAAGCGTACCTATGAGGGTCACCACACAAGACTCTGCCTCTTCCCTAGTCTCAACCCGATAATTCTAAGTCATCACACCCAAGCCCCAGCCATGGGGCGTCAGCTACAAATGACTTCACACCCAGGGAAAGGCACACCCAAGGTCTCCAGGCTCAGCTGGCTCTGGGGGCCCAGTGAACCAACAAAACACCTTTTTCTAGACAACAGAGAGTTTGGCTCCTGCATAGATGACAGGGATTTCAGGGTGGAGCAGTTCCAGTAATCTTTTAAACTGCTGTGTGCTTTTAAAATGACAGTGACTTCTTAGTGTCATTGAGTCCTGAGTGTAGAGACAGAAGTCAGAGACGTGGGCCGAGGCCAAACGGAACGGGTAAAGGTCTGGAATGAAGACCCACCTCAGAGCTACTGGGGAGGCACTGGCTTCCAGTGGCCTCCAAGCCAGGGCCAGGATGCATTTCAGGGGGGACAAGGGCGGTGGGAAACTCCTCTCCCTGGTCCCCATTCACACCCACAGCCAAGTTCATTTGTGAGAGACCTCCAGCTGCCGAGTGTCTTCTCGCCTTGGCAGGTCGTTTGCTTTTGCGGTTACCAATCCCGTCTGCTCTGATGGGCCCCACACTGGATCCAAGACGTAGGACGGGGGAAGGAGTCCTCGGGGAGGCTATGGCTTTGGGGTCATGTCTATACTTTAGACTGAGGTAACCTAGGTAACGCTCTCGTGCAGCTACAGCTGAGATGTGCTATGCAACTAAGACCAGGAGCCATGTCGTCGCTGCCCGGATTACTGTCCTGGTTCATTCATGGCAGGCAGAATCAGGCCACTGTCTGTATTCCCAGGACCTGCATGGCCCTCCAGCCCCAGATCCCCCGCCTTCCCATGGCTCGCCATCTTCTGCTCCTGAGCACATTCCTGGGTGGGACCCTTCTGTCTGCCTGTCCTTTCGACACGGACGCTGACCACAGATTATCCAGGGCTTCCCCAGAGTCACTGAAGGTCCCTTAGCAAGGCCCCTGAGCTAAAGACAGTACTGCCACTCACACCCTGTTTTATGCTTTACTCTTTTCACGACCTCTCTAACATCGATTCTCTACCGTTGGTAAACTGGAGATTCCCTGAGGACAGGACTTGCTGGTCTAGAACGGTACCCTGCGTTAGCTAAGGAGCTCAACAAGTAACAGACTGAGTGGCTGTATCGGGACAGGGACAAAGGGGGACATCAAGCGGCCAATAGGCCATCTACTTGGTTATGGCATCATGGCGGGATGCCTGTCCCCACCCTTCCTCTCCCTCTATAACCGTCACTCAAAGGGGAAACAGCTGATGTGGGCTGGGGTGCGGGTGCCCCGCGGATTCTACCCCAGGCTATGTAGACACTGAGTTCCAGTCATTCCGCTACGGAAGGCAGACAGTACCGCCAGATCTGGTTTTTTCACAAGAAGGCATAATCTGGCTCCTACTGTGAGGTCTAGTTCCAATGCCAGCAGTGATGTAAAACAAAAGCTTGCAAGTCAAACAAGTAGGATGCTCGGATGGAGGCCTGCAGCCCGGATGGATGCTGTGACCACCTGGGTCATGTGTCCCAGCTCCCCTTCGTCTCTCCTCAATGGGGAAGGCCCATCAGCTTCTGCTGAAACGCCTGTCTACACTGTTAAGCACAAACAAAAAGAAACAGCTGGGGGGAGGGGAGCTCAGACACACTCTACTCTACAACCCGGTGTTTTGACACAGTTCATGGGCTGCGGGCCATAGAGCCTTCTCTCACTTGTTACATTTTGTTGCTTTTTTCAGGGTTAGTGTTATCCACCAAACGCCTGGCCCCGCACCAGTCATCCATTCCTTCTGTCCCTGCACTTGGGAGCCGGCAGTGTGCCGGGGTAGAGTTTGAGCCACCTGTTACACTTCTTACAAGGTGACACCGTAACACCCACCCGTTAGCCTCCACTGTGGGTCTAGGCACATGGCCAGTAGTTAGTTGTACAGCAAGAATAAAAGTCCCATTCTACTTAAGCTCATGGTTCACAAGGATCAGAAAGCTATTAAAGCTGGAGATGGTGTGCAGTATGAGAATCCTAATCCTAATCCTCATTCATTTCTTCAGCTCTCTCTTTCCACCACTTGGGTCCAGGGAGCAGATCCCGGTTGTCAGGCTATGGTGGTGGTGGGGAACCCTTACCCACTGAGCCATTTCAGTGGCCCAATTCTCATTAATTTCTAATAAAATTAACAACTTTTTAAAAACTCTATCCTAGGCCTGGTGGCGGTGGTGCAGGTGGACCTCTGTGAATCTGAGGCCACCCTGGTCTACAGAGTGAGTTATAGAACAGGCTCCAAAGCTACATAGAGGAAACCCTGTCTTGAAACTCCACCCCCACAAAAACAAAACAAAACCCAAACCCTACCCTAAAAATGATTTCTTTCTGATGTGTCAGCCATTCATTTGCAAACACTCTAATATTCTCTTCTTACAGAGTAACGTTTTTTTAAGTAGTGACATTTAGATATTATTTATAAATAACTGGAAAGAGATTCATAAACAATTTTCTTAGCTACTATTTCTTAGCTACGTTAACAAGGTCTAAGTTACGTAAGAACCATTTAGGGGCAGGAAAACTTATATAAAAATAGCATTTGTGTGCAAATTGAAGCAGTATGCCTGTCTGTGTGTGCAGGATGTTACATGGCCTTACAGTGGGCATCGGTGAGCGGCCCGTCAGGCAGGAGGGTTCCCTGGGAGGCCGCCCTGTAGAAGCGCGCTCTCGCACAGCTTATTCTTCGTATCTTCGCAGGGTCCAGCGGAGGTTTAGGGAAGGAGGGAGAGGCAGCCTCCTCTGTGGTGGGAGATGCTGGAGCTCTGGGTTTCTGCCAAGAGAGTTTTGAAGGATTGGCATGAGCCTCTGCGTCTCACATAAAGCTTTCCCCTCCTGCCACCCGGGAGCTGGATCCACTCCTGCTAGCGTTTCTGCTTGACGTGATTGTAGCCTCTGGCTCTACCATCTCATTGGCCCATCTTACTTAACATCATATATACACATACATGCACACACATATACATGCATGCACAGAATACATAAACACATAACTTATATATACACATGCACATATACACACATGCAGACATGCATACATACATGCACACACACATATATACACAAATAAACAGACATATACATACAAACACACGCATACGCAGACACTCACGTAAATATACACATACATAAACACACACACATACACTTTTGGTTTTACCAGTGTATCCTATGAGCTGTTCTGCCACACGTTTACTTTATTTGATTTATAAAACCCAAATTACCTATGCTGGCACACAGCTATCTGTACAAGAGACTGTAGTGGTAAATACAATGTATTCAGCATGCTTTTTAAAGTGTTGTGTACCAAATCTTTCAGTCTCAACGGTCAGCCCAAATAATAACATGGAGACATCTTATTAATTATGAAAGCTTGTCCTATAGTTTAGGCTTGTTCCTACCTAGCTCTTATAACTCAAACTGATCCATTTATATTAATCTATGTTCTATTGTTGGGAAATGTAAGTACTCGTCCCTTACAGCTCTCCCTCCCCACCCAGCTGTAGAACTCCCGTGCTCTCAAGGTTGATCAGACAAGGTTGTTCTCATAACTTTCCGGTGTGCAGTGCCCATGCCTAGACCCCCGTGTGTGGGCGGTGCACGATTTCCTCCTATGCTTAGCCCATCCCCTGGCCTGGGTTTATACTCTCTGTAATGAAGGGCAGCAGCTTCCTCTTCACTTCTCGTGGTGGTCTGTTAAATGTTTCAATCCTGAAACCCTCCGCCAGCTCCGTAATCTGGCTGCACGGGCGGGTGCGGCATCCCATCACGTGGCGCTGCCTCTCTTCCATCTAGCACTTCCTGTTTCCTCTCCGTGTCCCCCGTGTACCTACAGTCTCTTCCTCTTCCTCTCTCTCCCTGGAAGTCCTGCCTGTACATCCTGCCTAGCTATTGGCCATTCCACTTTTTTATTAAACCAATCACAGCAAATACATCTTCACACAGGCTACGCCTGTGTGCTGGTTTAGTTCAGAAAACATTTGCTGGGCTACACGCGGAGACTCAGTCTGTCACCTAACACTGGGGAGGCCGGGGCAGGAGGATTCATGCTTGGGGCCAGCCCGAGTGACAGAGCAGGAACCTTTTCATAGAACAAAACAAAAAAGATGGACACATTTATTGGGCACTGATGTGCGCTTTGAGTGCTGAACACATCCTGGGCTCCACAGAAGCAATTTTGTAAGGATACCTAAATTTTAGATTCATTCAGATTAAAGAATGACAAAGCACAAAACTAAGAATTTATATTATACTTATTATATAGAAATGCTTATTTTTATGTCTCAAGAATTCTGATGCAGATACCGTCCAGAAAATCAACAGTATTGGCAATATTCCAATCCCTTTAAGGAACATTTTGCTTGTGTGTGTGTGTGTGTGTGTGTGTGTGTGTGTGTGTGTGTGTGCTCATACCTATATGTGCATGACGACATTCACCCATGTGGCATAGAAGCCAGAGGTTGATCTCAAGATGTCTTCCTCAATTAGTTCTCCTTGTTATGTTTTTGAGACAGGGACTCTCACTGACCATAGAGCTTAATTTGCCTAGACTGGCAAGCCCTGGAGAGTTGCCTATCTCTGCCCCACGGTGCTGGGGCTACAAGCGGAGGTCGGAAGCCTGGGTTTCACCCTGTGTTAGAGATCGGGATGAAAGTCTTGACACTTGTGCAGCAAGTTTTACCCACTGACCTATCTTCCCGGCCCTTGTTTATTTCATTTATTTTCTGAGGCAGCATTTCACACACTACCCTCCTGCCTTTCCTGGGCCAAGGTCTGGGATTACAGGCGCAAGCACACCCCCACCCCGTCTACCTCTTTTTAATCATCTTTAAGATATGCCTTTAGCAAGCTCTTGAACAGCCGCAACTCCCTGTGGCCTAACCTTCATAGGCCTGTGGCCTCCATTCTAACCCACAAGTTCCTAGTGTCAGCGGGACCTGGTCACCTTGCTTTCTCTGCTTTCAATAATGTCTGCCTAGGAAGAGCAGGCACACACCCAAAGTGCCTCTAAAACTCCAGTTAGACACACCGAAGAAGACAGTGTGCCTGAAGGGTCCGCTCTCTCCAAATCACAGCTGAACAAACTCAGAAGTGATGGCTTCCCGAGTGCTTGGATTAAAGATGTGTGCCACCACTGCCCAGCTTCATTTTGAAATACGTTCTTAGCAGAGCTCTAATACAGCTGGCTGTGCTCTGTACGTGTGAGTATTGAGAGGATGTGTGAAACAGGTAACCTCAACCATCCCCGCCTGCCCCCAATACAGATCTCCCACTGGACTTTTAGATGTCTTGAGTAACTTCTTGGGTAGAAGTTCCTCTCTCAGAAGTAACTAAACTTCATGTGTAGGTGTGTACTGTGTGTAGAGGCTAGACATCAATGTCAGATGTTGTCTTCAATTGCTTATCACCTTATTAACTTAAATCAAATCTATGTGCATGGATGCTTTGGTTGCATGGATGCCTTGGTTGCATGGATGCCTTGGTTGCAAGTGTATCTATAAACAAATCTATGTGCCTCTCCAACTGGGTAAGGGTCCCCCTAAAACAGGCCTTGATTGAAAAGTAACAGATGCTAATTATAAACTGTGCTTTCTTTTCGTTTTTATGTATTTTTGAAGCACTGTCTGTGTTGGCCATGCTGGCGTCCAATGTGCTAAGTAGCCCAGGCTGGTGCGAACTCAGAAGCCTCCAGCTTGTACCTCCCAACCCTGGGGATTCCAGGACTGGACTGCCACGTCCCATTGGCACAGTGGTTAACTGAGCACTGACATAATACATGCTAAGCGTCCCGACCTTTCTTCCTTGGCTTCTGAGAGTCAACAGCCAGGCTTTGCCATCTAGGACAGAGCTTGGTCTTGTGAGGTGATCCCTAAAGATACATACACTTTTAAGACGGTCAGGGACAATGTGACCCAGACACCCGAGGGGTGAGGTTGGCTAATAGCGCCTATGCACCAAATTCCCTCCATATGCTGAACAGCAGCATCAGACACCAGAAAGGTCTCTAACATGAAAGCCAGAGACCAAAACAAACCTACACCTGCAATGGAGACTACCCAGGGACAGCTGAGTTAAAAGCCACCAAGTTATATCTAAAGTTACGCACTCATGAAGCAAAGACAGAATACTACCTAAAAGTATGAGCTAGAGGCTGGGGGAAGAGAGCTTTTGGAAATTAAATACAGGAAAACAAAATGAAAAGAACCCAATAAAGGGGCCGGAAACTACCAGCCATGAGGCACCATGAGGCCCAGGCACGTAGAGGACAGCTACATGAGAGGGAGATTGCAAGGGCAGAGAGCGTCCATGAAGGGACAGGGAGGCAAATGTGACCGGGGTGCATGATGTGAAACCCACAACGAGCCAACAAAAATGTCTAAAAGACAGTGGATTAGAAGAACAAGGTGTACAACAGAAAATAGAAGTGATAAAAAAAAATTGAAACAAAAAAGAGGAACAGAAACTTGAAGAGCTGGCCCTACAGATCCTACATCAGGAAAATGAACTCTCAAAAAAAAAAAAAAAAAAACAAAAAAAAAAAAACAAAAAAAAACCCCACAAACAAACAATCAAAAACAAAAAACAAAACCAATAGGTTTGATCAGCGTACGTTGTATGTATGCTTATGACTAAACACGTATTCATAAAAACTGTTTTCAGGGGAAGTCATGACTGACGTAACTCAAGGACACTTCTCAGAGCTGAAGGGTAAGAGGTTTCAGGTTGAGAAAGGCTCTAAGTACCCGAACTCCTGATGAATGAGAGCTGCTGAAGGCTCATTGTCAGGTGTGGTGGGGAGTTCTTGTCAAGGATGTAAAGCAGAGTCATAGAGGAAGAGGGAACTTCAGATGGGAACAGCCTCTATCAGATTGGCCTGTGGGCATGTCTGTGGAGTAATTACTTTTTAATTAATGATTGAGGTCGGAGGGCCCAGCTCACTCTGGGAAGTGTGCCCTGGGCAGGTAGGCCTGGGTCCTCTGAGCAAGCAGGTGGAGTAGACCACAAAGAGCAAGCCCAGGAGCATCGTTCCTCAGGGTCTCTGCTTCAGTTCCTGCCTTCAGCTTCTGCCTTGGCTTCCTTTGATGACATAATTTGAAAACTAAATAAACCCTTTCTTCCCAAAACAGTGTTTTATCACAGCAACACAAAGCAAACCAGAACAACTGGGGTCAAAGAGAAAAGTCCTACCAACTTCCAAAAAAGAAAAAAAAAAAAAACGAAACAAAAGAAAGAAAAGCAGAACTCAGATGCCAAATCATTTACTCCACACTCACTTTTTCTATGGGAAAAAAATGCTCCACCCAAAGCAGAGTCAATGTCACAGGGGAGAGCATGGAACAGGAAACAGGAAACAGCCCCCATCAAGGGAGGAGGTGCCTCCTAGGATGATGCTGAAGGGTGGCCAGAGCAGGGCCAGGTGCCCAGAGCAAGTGAGGGGAGAGGACATCTGGAGAGCTCGCCCACTGAGATGACTTGACAGGGTGCCCACGTCCCCAGACACATAAAGATGTGGGGACAGCTTGAGGTTTAGGCAGAACTAACACAAAACTTAAAACGTAAGAGAGTTGTTATCAGGAAGGAAACGCAAACTGACACCGTCAAGATAATCGAGTTTCCCTATTAACTCGAGGGTCAGCTGTGGGCGGCGCTGGTGTGATTATCATTTAAGGAAGCTGGGCCAGGGCAGCCCCACAGGGCACCTATGTGGGGATAGTGGTAGGGCAGGAAGAGGGAATGTGTCTGATGGACGGCGGTGGACAGCACAAGTATGAGTACGTATGAGAAGTCGTACATACAAGTAGAAGACAAGGTGGTCGAGAAAGTTCCAGAAGAAACCCACGGGGGGCAAGGACAATAAAGAATAGGGGAATAAAAAGCCACTGTTTTTAGTGATTTTTGTTTCATTGGGTTTTTTGGTAACAAATCTCCATCTCTCTCTCTCTTAGTAATATATAAGTTTACATGTATAATTTACGTTTTAACTATATGCACATTATATGTATAACTATAAAGTCCATGTATTTAATATATAAATATGTAATTTTGCTATGAATAACTAAGACAAAATAATACATAACTTTTTAAACAACAAACATGCAATATTGTTTAGTAAATTACTTTAATTCTTCATTATAAAATTACAAGTAAGCTACAGAGGCACTTCACTAGATAGTAAGCATTATATTTAAAAATGTAAAGGCATTGTCTCTGACATTTAGTTATTAGTACTCTTGGGCTTACATGATAATATCCTTAGTGACACAGGTCCTGACTCCTAGTATTGGGGCCAAATTCATATCATCACGCGGGTGGCGACAGAAAGTACTCACCAGCTCCAGCGGGCTGAGGCGGGCACCAGAGATGGGCCTGGAATCGCCTAACTCGAAGCTGGACGCGTGGAGGCTAGCGGAAGAGACGGTGCAGAGGGTTAGTGTGTGAGGGGCATCTGTCTCTGGTGTGTGCTAGTGAACTCTAGCTGAGAAACAAGTGAAGGCACCCACTGCACCGCGTTGAGAAAAGGCCACTTAAACAGGCTCTGGCACGCAAAACTGTTAGGTTCTCACACTCAGAACTGGTGACGATTTTCCTGTTGCTTTCGGGAAGACTAAAAATACTCAAGAGTGAGCTAGACGTGGTGGCACATGTATGTAACCCCAGTAACCCGAGCATAGGAGAAGGGTAATGAGCTCAAGGCTAGCCCGAGTTACATGACGAGGCATGGTCTCACGTGAATATTTAAATGATAAAGAGGGACACAATGCAACCTCGCTTATAGAGTGCTCAGTCTGTAGAGTGCTCAGTGTGTAGAGTGCTCAGTGTGTAGAGTGCTCAGTGTGTAGAGTGCTCAGTGTGTACAGTGCTCAGTGTGTAGAGTGCTCAGTGTGTACAGTGCTCAGTGTGTACAGTGCTCAGTGTGTAGAGTGCTCAGTGTGTAGAGTGCTCAGTGTGTACAGTGCTCAGTGTGTACAGTGCTCAGTCTGTAGAGTGCTCAGGTTGTAGAGTGCTCAGGTTGTAGAGTGCTCAGTCTGTAGAGTGCTCAGGTTGTAGAGTGCTCAGTCTGTAGAGTGCTCAGTGTGTAGAGTGCTCAGTGTGTAGAGTGCTCAGTCTGTAGAGTGCTCAGTCTATAGAGTGCTTAGGTTGTTCAGTGCTTGTGTTGAGCAGTGCTGGTCTAGCATGCACACAGCCTTGGGTTCAGTCCCCAGCACTGCCTAAAACTGAATATATGGCAGACACTTGCAATCCAAGCACTCAGACGGTTAAGGCAGGAGGATCAGTAGTCCTAAGTCATTCTTAACTACACAGCAAGTTGTAGGCCAGCAGGGTTACCCGAGGCCTTGTCCAAGTAATAAGAATAAGAATAATTAAAAGAAGAATATATATATATATATATATATATATATATATATATATATATATATGCTTTTTGTTGTAACTATAAGCTTGATATGATAATTACTATTAACTATTTCATTTTAAAGTGAGTTTCTTTACCCAGGATCCAGAGTTATCTTTAGGAATCTTGGTCAAAAGTCAAACTTAAAAAATTTTCTTGAAAAAAAAATCAATTAATATAATCCATCACACTAACAAGTTGTAGAAAAATCCTATGGTTCTATCAATAAACACACACACACATACACATGCATACACACACACATATACACACATGCAGACATATACACAAACACACGGGCATACACACACACATGCAGACACATACATATACACACAAGCATACACACATACACACACACACACACACAAACCCAGGAAAGAAAGGGAGGTCTCTACCTTGGTAAGGAATACCTGCAAGCATCCCACGGCTCACATCATGGTCTGTGAGAGGACCCTGAAGCTTCACTACTAAGATCAAGGCAAGACAAGGATGCCCCCAGTCACAGCTGCTGTTCACCAGTGTACTGGAAGTCAGTTAATTCAGAAAGACGGGGAAAGGAACTAAAAGGCAGATAGATAGAGAACGAAGAAGAAACAAAGTAACTTCTCTGAAGGAAGGAATGCAGAATTGACAAATTCCAAACCCCCTGGGATGAGTAATTGATTATAGCAGGGGTAGGGATACAATGTTAACACAAGTCAGTTTCCCTACATGGGTAGACAGGTAGAAACCTAGATGGAAATGTAATATAATAACTGAAGTGCTTGGTTATAAATCTACCAAAACATGCATGACCTGGAAGAAAATGGAAAATAACCAAAGAACACTAACTGGAGAGACAGATCATTTTCATGGATAGAACACATAATACTGTTACATTGTTAGTTTTCCTGTTGCAACATTATTTCTAATGAGGTTTTTTAAAGGTTGTTTTCAATTTACACTACAGATTCAATGCAATCTTAAAGTCCCAGCGAGTTATTTCGTGCCTATAAATTGAACCTGAAGTGTGCATGCAGAGGGGAAGGCCTCTGTGGCGGTGTCTTGTTGTGCAACTAAAGCCCAACTGAAGGTCAGAAATAGAGCTTGCCTCTAGCTAACCATAGAGGTCTGGAGGTCTGTACAGACAGACAGGAAGAGAGATGGCTGGGCAGAAACAGGACATGAGCCGGGAGAAAGAGGAACTGCTCTCTTGTCTGTGGAGACACTAAGCAGGTAAGGTGTGGCTGTATTCCTCTCTCATCTCTCAGCATTTTCCTCTATATCTGACTCTGGATTTTTTTTTTTTATTACTTAAACCAATTAAGAGCTCCTTTTACACAGGAATAATCAACAACACTAAAAGGGGAGCAAATTTGGAAGAGGGTCACTGCCTAACTTCAAAACATGCCATAATGCCCGAAACAAGACAGTGTTATTATACTGGCTAAAGGCGCATCACCAGAAACAGACCTGCAAATGTACAGTTAAGTGATGGCCACCAGGGTAGCACAGATGATGCAGGTGCTCTTGCTTCAAGTGGGTTAGAGACCTATAAACTTGTTAAGTTAAAATTGTTGTCAAGTCAAATGCATTTAGTAAACCTAACCTACCTACAACAGAGCCTATGGAGGCAGCACACTATAGACTGAGTATTTTGCTCTCAGGGTCCGGTGGCCAGCTGGAAGCTGCAGCTTGTTATTGGTGCCCAGCATCCTAAGAGTGCATCTCACTGCTAGCTCAGAGAATATCAGAACCCAAAGCCTAGTTTCCCCTGAGTACACAATGCTTCCACAACACCACAAAGTGAAACTCTAGACATTGGACCATTGTGAGTCAGTAACTTCGTGCAGTTCAGAAAGAGAATCATTCCAACACACACACACACACACACACACAATGAGAAGGCAGATATCACTCCCATCTCAGAAATAAACTCAAATTCAATTTCAAACACAAATGTAAGACTCAGAACTATAAAACCTCTACAAGATGGTATGGAAGAAAGTCAAGATAAACTTGAATAAGGTGATGACTTTTATACACAGCAGTGATGTCATGCTCTAGGACAGAAAGCTGATCAACTAAACGATACTAAAATTAAAAATATCTGCTTCACAGAAGACAGTCAAGAGAGTAAGAAATCCAAGTCTGGTAGGGGAAAAAAAAAAAGAGCTTGCAAAAGATGGGTAAGATAAAAGATTGCTATCCAAGCTACTCAAGGAATTCTTAAATCTCAACGAGAACACAAACAACCCAATTTAGAAACTGGGCCACAGACTTGAACAGATGCCCAACCAAAGGAGATACACAGATGGCAAGCACGCGCATGAAAAGATGCTCTGCATCACGTCACCGGGGAAGATGCAAATCAGCACAAGACATAGCTTTGCAGCCACCAAAGAGTCAGGGCCCAGATCGTGGGGATGCAGCAGCCGGGCAGTGCCCACTTAATGCTCGTGGAAATGCACAATGGGGAGCCACTGTGGAAGGCAGATTGGTGCTTTCTTATAAGACCAAACATATTCTCACCATCTGCCCTTGCCGTGGGGTCCTTGGCAGTTACCCAAAGAATCTGAGTACTTGTACCTACCAAAAGCATTCGTGTGGAGGGTTAGAACATTGATGGACATGGAATGTGGGAACAGAACTTCATTGGAAGTAACTCAAGTGTGTGACTAGGGTGCAATCAGATGATGTAACTACTAGGCGCTAGAAAGAAATGAGCTACCAAGCCATGAAAAACCACCGAGGAAGCATAAATCCGAATTCCTCGGTGAAAGCAACCAATTAGAAAGGGCTCCATAGGCATGATCCCGGCTACATGACATCCTGGGAAGTGCAGTACTTTAAAGACAGCAAAATGATCGATAATTGGCAGGTGTTGGGGAGAGAACGATAGATGGAGAGAATGTAATCTGGTGGCCTAAATGTCTGTGTGTACACCAAAGCCAAGTGTTAGCACCTGAAAGAGGAGGAAGGCCTGTTTTCCGGGGTTCTTGACGACGCAGGCCCAAACAGCTTCCTCTGGTCTTCCCGGGGAGTAAATGGTCTTTGGGTTCTAACTGCTCTCAAGGCATTCCGTGCTTCCCGTATGATTTCCACACTGGTTTTTTGCTTGGACAATGAAGGTCGATGAAAGAGATCCAGCTTTTCTAACTTTTGATCATTGGATGACAGCATCTTTCCTTTCAAATTAAAATGATCTTCAGAGACACACCCTGCAAATATAGGATACAAGAAACACAAGTTATTTTTTTTTAACCTGGTATTTTAGATAGAAACACACCCAAACATATACTAAGCTATTTCTCTTTACACACCTGAAAAGAAACACAAACATGAGCTGGGGAGGTGTCTCGGAGAATTAAGTGCTGGCTGTGCAAGTATGGGGAACCACATTCAGATCCCCAGAACCCATTACAAAAGCTGGGAATACAGCATGTGCCTGTTGCCCCAGGGCTGGAAGGCAGAGCCAAGCCAAAGCCAGGGGCTCTCTGGCCATCCAGACTTGCCCAAATAGCAATCTCTGTGCTCATGGGAGACCCTATCTTGAAAAGTAAGGTGCAGAAATGATTGAAGAAGACATCTTCAAGTCAACTCCCTGGCTCCCACATACCCTGAACAGGCACGTGCACCGTGTACCCACACATACATGTGCATAAATGCATGTAACACACACACACACACACACACACACACACACAGACCAAAGCCAAGGCCTACGGCTGCCAGGCTAATGTTCCTCTACTGAACCCCAGCACCAGCCCCGCCCCAGCCCCGCCCCAGCCCCAGCCCCAGCCTCAGTCTACCATAAACCTACCTAAAGCACTGAGAATTCTATTTAAAGTTTTACCTCAGCATTTCCCCCCTTCCCCACCACCCCATACAAAGGGCTTACAGAGGTTACATTGGAGCCTGATGGAGCCTCCTTCCAAACTGCGTTCATTTTTCCAACAAACCCACAAGAAAGGCTGGTTCATCCCCATAAAGCCCATTTTATTTGTGAATGAACCAATTCAAATCATCTTCAATTAAGATATTGTCCTTGGTGGATAAATACCAAATATTAATATCTATTATTCTTTCCCAGCCTATCAAAGACTTAAAGCCACATAGCAGAGCCTTCTCAAACACCAGCGTGGCCCACAGAGTCCAGCCTAACGCAACAGTGGTTCAGCATGGCCCACAGTGACCAGCAGTGATCCAGATTTTTAAAAAGGTATTCTAAATAGTATATGGTATCAAGGTATTCATTATTTTAACAATATATCTAATCCTAAAATAATTTTTTAAAAACTAACCCCAATCCTAAAAAGTAAAAAAATCCAACCCTATAGAAATGTACTTCCAGAGACAGGGGCCTATACATTATTCAGGCATCACAGCCATCCAACTTTAGAACGGCTTCTACTAAAAATGAAATGTTTTCTGACCTATGCAAGGAAAAGGAAAAGATCCTGTTTCCATAAGCAAGTGTTTCCTTAGGTAGAAATTTGCTACATTATGACCCTTTCCATTGAGCAGCAGACAGGAACACTCAGCTCTACTGGGCTCTATCCACAAGTTTCCGAAAATACAAATAATGTGATTCTTCTCATACAAAACACTGGGTGCTTCTCAGGGAAGCAGTGGTCACTGCCTGAGCAACTCCACCTCAGGAGGCTTCTTACTCAGGATCCTGGGTTTAAATGAGGACTCCAGAATTATATATGTAAGATACACACACACACACACACACACACATATATATATATATATATATTAACACAACTATCAAAAACTATAGCAGGCCTAAAACATGCTGCATCTAACACTTCTGACAAGGTTAGATTATCAGTGACTTTCCATGGGATTTGTTTCAAAATGCACAAAATGCTTTAGGTAAACATACATCTGTATACACTTATTTATAGGTCATGTATAGTAATATATACTTATGGATATTTTGAGATAAAATTTCAGCCAGGCGTGCTGGCTTGATGTGAAGGACTCTTCGAAAGGCTTAGGGTATAGTACAAATGGTAGGCTATGCACTTTAGACTGTGACAGGCCCCGATTCTGACCCCCGACAACCCACAAAAGGGAAGGAAAAGCCACGGTGATTTGAAGTCATGTACTTAGAAGTTTCTATGCAGTCAGGAGGTTTCTTTCCAGGCATTCAATCAGATTGTCTACACCTTTGGCCTCGCACAGCATTAACAAGTCCAGCAATGCCTACAGGAAATCAGGCAAAACTAATAAAAAGGTGCTCCGGAAAGTAATGAAGGGTTCTTGTTCCTGGCCCACAGGCCTCTCCGGCTAGCTTTCCGTTTGCACAGAGAAGTACACAGAGTAATGGAGCACGAATGCAGGCAGTTTCCTAAGAGCCCTGTAAAATATGTGGATCTGCAGGTAATTAGACTGACAGATATCTGGGGGCAATGTAAGTAAAGGGAGCAATGGTTCAGCAGCTAAGGGCACTGGATGGCTGCTCTTCAGAAGACCTGGGTTTGGTTCCCAGCAACCACATGCTGGAGCAGGTTATCTAAGGCCATCTTCTGGCCTCCTTAGGCACCACATGCAGCGGACAGATGAGCATGTGGGCAAATATCCATGCGCATGAAAATAACAATTTAAAAAATGTGTACAAATGTTCACGACTTTCCCTGTGTTCTCCCAAGTGCCTGCTGCTTTGTTATTTAGTAAGAATGGGTACAATAACATATGACCTGTACCGTAAGTTCCTGTCTGGTTATTATATTAATGTTAACAAATTCTTAGCTAAATCAAACTTAGAAATGTCTGCTTGTATGAATAAACGTGACAATTGTGGGCTTCTTCTTTTTTTTTTTTTTTGCAAAAAGGATGTTTTGTTTTATTTATTTATTTGCAGTAGTTAAGTTACAGATTATTATCAGTTAAGTTGTAAGTTATGTGTGGGTTTATTCAACTTGAAAAATAATTACTAAGAGTGTGAGCATCTATTTACAAGACAGTCATAACACAATCATACTATAGAAATCTTGATTTTCTAAAGCCTTCCTGATGGCTGGAGCAGGCTCAGCTCTACTAGAGATGATCGGCTGTCACAAAGGCACTATGTTTCCTGCAGGCAGAGCCCCCCCACCTAGATCTCTGGGGACACAGAGAATAATAAAGCCGCCTCTGCGCTAAGCGAGCTGGAGCACTAATTCAGTGAAGCATTTACTTTAAGACCAAACAACGTGCTAAATCCTCTTTGAGTACATCATCTCAGCAGATCTTGCGACCGTTCTATGAGGTAGATAAACTCAAAGAGACAGGGAAAGGGAAGCTTTGCTACACTCTCAGGACTGTTGGTCAAGCTATTACAGACTGGGATGCAATACTTCCCTATTAGTATAAAAAACACTCCATCTTTTCCCTGCAAGGGACGCCTTCTCGGTATGCAAACGGTTTCAATGGGCACGGATGGCCATGTGATTACCCAACAGGTTAGGAGAAAGCACCCATGGAAAGCATCTATGGAGGTGGCAGGCCTTGAGCTGGGTTCCGGATAATGGCCTGACTTTGAGCCTGTGACAGTGGCCCCAGAGGAGAGAGCCGTGAGTAAGCCAAGAGCTCCGGAGCGTGTGTGGTCCAGCAGCACCAGGCATGAAGTCTAGATGGGGAGGAGCGGCGTGGTGTCGGGCGGGGGGTGGGGGTACAAAACACAGACTGATCCACAGACTGCAGATCTTGAAGGATGGTGTGACTTGGCAAGGGTGGGCAGGAAGGGGAAAAGAGAGGGAAGGAGATAAAAAGTGGGCCGTTCTTAGGTACCTACCCCCCCCCCACTCTATCTGAGGCTCACTTCCTCAAGAGCTCTTCCTGGGCACGCCTTTCCCACACTTTTAGACTGGGTGTAGCGGTCTCCGTACAGAATCCATGAGGTCCCCAACTGTCTGACACATTTCCACAGTGACAGAACTAGCTGCTCGTCACCCGGTGTTGTTCCCCACCCTGGAACTCTGAACCCCGACTGTCCCCCTCCCCCCCATAGCAGCACCAACTGAAGACAATACATACTTGAGCACAAGCATTCACAGACGAAGACTGCATGGCTGTGGTAGACCATAAGGGTATACTGAACTTCATATTGGCATCTGATTTGTGAGGCTCTCAAATAATAGCTCCGTCTCTCTTTCCAGTTGCCGAAAAGTATGGGACTGGACAAGTGCTGTGTAGTCAATGAGCCATGTATGGAAGGAAGCCTGAGATTCGGGAGTGACAGTGACAGCAATGGGCACTGAGATCAGACATGTGAGGAGGAGGCCAAAGGTAGACCCCGGGGGGCAGAGAGAGGCCAGCAGCCCTTCCAGAAGACGTCTGGAGAGAAGAGGGATGCTAGACTCTGTCTTGCGTCACACTGACTTCAGCGTGTGGTATCCAATGGAACCACGGGAGGGTAAACATCATCTGCAGGAGGGAAACTGAGTCAGAGTAACTGGGTGTCGTTGTTGTTTTAATGCACCTGTGAATATGTCAATGCACCCCATGCATGTAGCGCCTGCACAAGCCAGAAGACAACATTGGAATCCCTGGGACTGGATTTATAAGCGGTTATGAGCCACCACGCTGGAAATCGAACCCCGGCCCTCAGGCAGAGCAACTGGTGCTCTTAACCACTGAGCTATCTCTCCAGCCCCATGTGTTATTTTTTAAAACTAAAATATTTTTCATTGATGTGAAAGAAATTCATCATCATTGTTTTCGTGATTTTATACCCAGCTTTAAAAACTCACTCACATGGCAGTAATTCCAGTCCCAAAGAATCTGATGTCCTCTTGTGGCCTCAGAGGGCATTGCATGCTCCCAGTGCACATACATAAATACATACATGCATACATACAGGCAAACACTCATACACATAAAAAAGAATATATCTTTAAAACCCCTATCTTTACTTTAGCTACTAATAGCACCTGAACCAGATCTTTCTTGCTAAGCATAGATCACCCTATCAACATTGCCAAAATCTGTGTTTGTGGGTGCACACTCTTTCTCCAGCAAATCAAACACTCAGTACCCTTTCTATGACTAAACTACTTTAGTGTTAATATGAGCATCCAAACGGGCAAGAAATGTGCTTAGATAGCTGTAACAGGAAAAATAAAAGACCCAGAGACCGATATTGGGGTTCAAGCTTCAAGCTGGAGATCAGAAAAAGCAAAGCAGCTGGCCACTAGCTCTTACCTCTACCTCAGACTGAAATCCCAGACTGCTATGCTCTCCTCAATGTGGCTGGACAATCCTGAGACTGAGCCAGCTCTGAGACCTTGCTCCTGTCTTATATACCTCCTTATGGCTGGGATTAAAGGCATGTGATCCCAGGTGCACGCTCAAAGGGGTGAGCTCTGTTACTCTTCACTCTTGTGTAGGTCATGGTGACCTTGGACTCATAGAGATCCATCTACCTCTTAATCCTGAGTCCTGGGATTAAAGGTGTGTGCTACCACTGCCTGACCTCTATAACTTGAGGCTGACTTTGTTTCCTGAATCCTCCGGCGAGCTTTAATAAATCATAAATAATATATCATCACAGATGTCAGAGCAAGTGCTGAAGTTCTCTGATGACCCACAGCTCTGTGACCTTGGGTGGGGCATTGAGCATCTCTATGCTTGTGTCCTCTTCTGTGATAGTGACTACCTCTTAGGGCATGTTTTAGCATCGCATGAAATGCCCCGTATGATCCAGCACCATGGTTTAGCTCTTGGAAACATTAAGAACTACTGTCCAAGTGCTATGTGATAAAGAGAACCAAGGAAAAAAAACTCTTATGAATGAACATACACACTAATAAGAGAAATCACAAAAGAGTGGAATTTGTTCAGTGTTTTCATGTATATCATAAACGTAAATTTTCAAGTGGAGAGTGCTGCTCTTGATAAAAAATAGAAGGCTTTTATTAATGGCTTTCCTGGATGTAAGGTATACCAAATCAACACCAATGGCGAGTCAGAACCTTAGAGTCACAAAATAGGATACAAATAGTGTGACTTGCTTTTATACCGAGTTAAGAGACTTGAAGTGGGGATGGGATGCAAGAACCTGCTGTAATACTCGTGGCATGGGTCTTAAGAGGCATTCTGTACACATGTGATGTAGTTAATATCGTTCCACTTTATTGAGGACGTACCTGTTACCTAGAAAAGTCCAAGTTTGCCCCGTGTGACATTTGGCCAGGTCGCCTGCCTACACAAAACCCCTTCTTTAATCTACCACTGTCTCATTTAACCAGTGATAATGGCTCTGTCATTAAATACCAGGAGACTGATTAAACGCTCAGTAGTACAGACTCTGACACCCGTGCCGACGGACCTGAGAGTATGCAGCAGCACCACTAGACCCTATCGGGGGACAGGAAAGAGGGGCCCCTGGTGAACCTGCGGGGGACTCCTCACCTCCCGCGCGCACGGCGGCTCTCTCGCTCTGGGCAAAGCCCGCTCCTCCTCTGGCCCAGGTTGGGGCCGAGCGTCTCAGCATCCTCACTTTTACCCTCCCGCCCTCCCGCGCACCGGCTTTGCCCGGCTGGCTAGCGTCTCCATGGTAACCGTACACAAACCACCTTCTGCTTGCAGGCGGGGCGGTCAGCCTGCAGGTCCCCGGCGCTGCGGAGCGGAGCGATGCGGGATGCGCTGGAGTAGGTCCTGAGGAGGGGACTCCGGGCTCGACTCAAAGCACCTGTGACGAGCGCTGGAAGACAGACGCTGGCGGAGATCAGTTCTTCCTCCCGCATCAGCAACTCAGTGGCTGAGACAGAGAGGCGGGGCGGAGAAGGGCGGGGCGGGGCGGCCCTGCCCCACTCTCCCACCACTGAGCCTGCGCCAATCCCACTGCGCATGCGTAGCAGTGCCGAGGCGTGGCTAAGGCTGGTGCGGGAGTGCCCGAGGGAGGATGCCCACAGGGGGAAAGACCGGGCTAGGTGGAGGAGAGTCTTCGTTTACACTGACAACGTATTCAAATATGTTTGCTACTCCCCGTGAGATCTCCGAGCTGCCATTAAGCAACAGGCAGAGGAACAATTTAATGCTTAGGGTAAAGAGTCGGTTTCTGATTATGGATGTCAGCATCCACCAGGAACCAGTTCCTTAACCTCCCCCTCTTATACATAAGGGAGGGGGGCGGTGTTACCCTGCGCGTGTCTAGCTGAATCTTGGTCTGTGACAAAATAAATATAAAGTGCCGAAGCAATGATTGCTAACCTGTTGGGTATTTTTTTTTAACTCTACATTTGTGCAGCACGTAACATTTTGCAGAGCAAGCTCACAACAGAGAAACTAGGGACCGGAGGTCAGATCAGGTGAGCGATTAAAGTCTAGCGTTGCTGTGGCCACCGCTACGTCCCAGGCCCACAGGGGGAGAGGAAAAAGGAATCCCATGTTTACGTTGCTAGCTCCGAGATTCTGTTTGCTCCTATGCTGGATCATTAGGTGATACTTGTGAAATACAAGCGAGGCATAAGCTCTAGGTTTACACAATGGTTTATAAATATAGGGATTTTCAGAGCAAGTGTTGTCAACACTGGAAAAATGCCATATCCCGCGGTGCCAAGTATCTTGTAAAGAATTACTAAGTTGCGTCTGTATTGAACACATACTATGTTTGACGAGAAATGACACCTGGGACTAAAGAAAGAAAAAATTTTCCAAGTGCTTAACGAGATTTCCCACATCACAGACAGTGAGAACTCAGTAGCTGATTAAATTTAGGACCCAAAACGAAATATTCATGTCCTTTGGGTTTGAAATCCCCAACAGCGATTCAACAGGGTCGTCCTTATGAAGTCCCCTTTACTAGTGGCCAGACTCAGTTGTGCGAAAGGACATTGCCTGTTGAGTAGACAGCCTTAATTGGTGTTTTGATTTCACAGTTTGTGAGATGTGATAACTACGTTTGGGTCTCTTGGTGGCCTTTTAAAAATACAATGCTGTTTATATGATCCTAGGCGGGGAGTTAGGTAGAGTTTTCTAATTTTTCTGCTACTAAATGACTGATAATCTGATGTTAACCTCAACATCTTTCTAAATGATGTTGGGTGAAAAACATCAAATGTATCAGACTACAATAGCCAATAGAAATTCACTTTTCATCTACTTAACCCTTACCCGAGATTTGGGGTCTACAGGGGACCTTCCTAAATGTTGCAGTAAGCTGACTACAAAATTACCTTCTCCAAGCCAGGCAGGGGTGGTGGTTCTCAACACTCCGGAGGCAGAGGCTGTCACAATTGTCAGCTATAGTCTTGGGTCCAAACTAGGCACACCACTGAAAATATGAAGCTAGTCAATTCAATAGGCCAGATGTCAGTCAAGCAAATCAGAATAACTGAAAGGAATAGCAAGACAGAATTGTAGAGAACAATTACTTGACGAATAATGCCACATACCTTACCTTACTATAAAACAGCAAACGGGAGAGTATTTAGGCTACCACGGCAGAGGCCTGTGGGCCTGACATGCTGTTCCTTCCTTCGGGAACCTGGGAGCTGTTGTTTAACAGAATTCTACACTGTTGACTTTTGTAACAAGAGCTTTCTGACCCTGCTGGTCCTAAGGCCCTTGAGGCCCCAATAAACACATGGACACAATACTAATTATGATACTGTTGACCAGTGGCTTGGGCTTCTTATTGGCTAGCTCTGTCTTATTAGCCCATTTCTATTAATCTATGGATTTCCATAAAGTCTTGGCTTACCAGAGAAGGGTTGGATTTGTAGCTCCTTTGGCGGCTCACATGGCGACTGTCCAGGCAGGCCCTTTCTGCCTACCTTTCCCAGAATTCTCCTCGCTCTAGTCCCCCCCTATCTATCTTCCTGCTTCATTGGCCACAGTGTTTTATTCATCAACCAATCAGAGAAATGTATACATACACAGAAGGACTTCCCTGTCAGACTTTTGTAAAAAGCAGGACTTCAAAGCTACAAATATGTTTTATAGACCTTAAAGAGAAATGATTAATTACAAGTGTATGACATTTATAGAGTACTTTATAGTTTTCAAATTGATTTACTTTGGAACATTCTATTCTATTGCCTTATACAGAGTTTACAATAATCTCAAAAGATTAATTCAAGGATTATTATTTGAATTTGAAATGGAAGGTTCAGAGGCTACTCTGTTCACAAGTATACAGCCAGTAGAAGGGCATGTGACCTGGGGTTCCAGCCAGCTGTCCTGCTATGGTACAGCCATAAATGTAGTCCTTCAGGCCAAGGTCTTGCATGCACAGCAATGAGAGCTACTCCCTATGCAGCTGCGGTGGGCACTAAGCATCAGGAGTAAACAGAATCTTCACCTGAAAATGCTCCCCTGAACTTGTGGATTTTTGAGTTAACAAGGGAACCCTGTACGTGGTAAATTAACACTCAATTTCCTTACTCGCCGTAATTTTATGCCTATAACAGAGACACACCTTATAGGAAAGAAATGTCAGCAAGGAGTAAATGCTGCCAACTTAAGGTTCTAAAACTCACTTCAAGATGTTCAGCCATTTAATATATTTATCACACAATTACTGTAAAGAATTAAACTGATAGCCAGTGCAATCCTTGCATACAAATTCAAAAGCGTGAATGCATTTAAATGTAATTCAATAGAACTTTACAATGCCATGAAAATTGACTGAGTTCATGGAACCTGACGGACATAAAGCTACAGCTGACTGAGGACATCAGCTCAAAAAGTTACAAACCTCTGTTTAATGGGGGCTCAGCAGTTGCCTGTGCATGCAAAGACTCCTTCACTTTTCCACACTTTACCACGTTGCCTCTGCCAGCCCTGAGCACATGCCTGCAGAGCTCAGTTGACAATGGTACTCAGGAGGAAGGGTCCATCCAATTAACACATGTGTACACAGAGCTGTGACTACTTAGTGGGTCATTGGAGGCCTGCAGGGGAGGGGCGGGCCCTTGTGTTACTCTTCATCCCGTGTGCCTGCTGTAGTGCCTCAGCCGGGCTCAAAGAAGTCATTGAAGACAAGTAGGAAACAGCTGTCTGTCCGACTCTCCCGTGAGACCTGACTGCCAATGTCTGGGTCTTTTGAAAGTGTTCACCTGCAAATAACACACAGTTCTACCCTAGGAAGCCCATGATGTATTAATTTGTTTAGCAAACATCAGTGTGGACCCTGTAGCTCAGAGATCAACCCTTATCAGACATAGCTCTCAATGTGGTCACAGATGACCGTGGCATCACTGAGCTGAGCATTCCCAAACTACAGTGTCCAGAATCAGGGGAAGGAAGTAGATGGACCCTCTCTTCATCTACCTCATTATAATAGGAAGCAAAACATATCCCAAGGAGCTGAAGGAGCCCTTATTTAGGACTAAGACCTTAAATTCAGTCTTCAGTTTCCAGACACACACACACACACACACACACACACACGTGCGTGCGCACACACACAAACACACACACACACACACACACACGTGCGCGCACACACACTTGCCTTCCTAGAAGCTCCCCTCAGCAGTATTCTTCTTTCATGCCATCGGCCAGGGTCACGCCCCGTGCCCACATGCCAGCCTCTGGCACATATGAATGAGGTTTCTATTAATGTGACTGGCTTTGATCATGCACTGTCTTTCCAACACTGTGACAAATAACCAAGGCCATCAACTTACAAGGAGGGGATGGTTTATTCTGACTTATAGTTTACATGGTTTCAGGCCACGAGATCACAGTCCGCCATGGTGGGAGCACATAGCAAAGAAGGTCTGCTCGGCCCATGGCAGCCAGGACTCAGAGAGACAAGGAGATGGAAGGTCATGGCAGAGGAGGCCTGTCCGCCTCATGGTGGCCAAGAAGCAAAGGGGAACGGGATGAGGCGAGGGTCCTGAGTACAGCCCCCTACTAACGTTCATCTCCCTCCACGGGGGACTCCCTTCCAATATCAGCACAGACCCTTGGGGGACGTTCAAGATTCAAACTATGGCAGCCAAAGTCCTCAGTTTTTGTTTATTTGTGTGTGTGGGGATTATTTTTAGACAGTCTCATGTAGCCCAGGCTGGCTCTGAACTGTGTAGCCAAGGATGCCCTTGAACTCCTGATTCCTTCTGCCTCCAACTGGGCTCGCAGGCATGTGCCACGTGTTTTTATGTGTCGGGAACAGGACCCAGGGTTGCATGCCAGCTGAGCCACTACTCCAGCTCCCAGCCTGGGTTTTGAGGGAAGAGGTAACATTGTATCGAATCTTGTGGCAAGCCGGAGATCTCTTCAATGGGACAAGGGGGTAGCAGCTGCTGGGTGGATGGAAACGGCTGTGACAGAGGTCTGGTGACCTGAAGGGTGCCTCCTGTCCACATGGAGATTTTGATGGGGGCCCATTCTAACAGGAATAGACCTTTAGGCATGGTGACAAGCCATGGCCTCCGGTCTCCTGGCATTCACAGGCTGCAGCACCCACCTTGATGATGTTCCGATTTAGTTGTCGGGAGGGTGAAGGCACAGGATGTGAGGGGCCCGTGGCTTTTCCCTAGAGCTGCTGCTGAAACAGCCTTCAAGGAGAGACCTGAGGTCCCGAGCCTTTTAGAGCAGAGCTGTTGATAGAACCATCAGCTCCCAGGGTAGAGGGAGTAGAGAGGGTTCAGGGGTGAAGAGCCATTTTAGGGTTGTGGTGCAATCCTTGACACCCTATCTGAGCCATCTCTTTCCTCCGCTCTCCCACTCCAAGACCATCCCGTGCCCAGCTCCCCACAGCTTTCCACAGAGCGCTCAGTGTTGGCCTTGACCACCCAAACAAATCTCTGAC